TTTTGAGTATCCAATTTATCTGTGCAATATGGGCCTTTTAGATTGCAATAATAAGTACACTTCAGTTACCTTAAATGGTAGACAATTAATATATGATATTCATTTATTAAAAAATCTTTATAATATCTCAGGTTTTACTCTAGGTCCTGAGAAAAAAGTGGTTACCAAGAGAGGATATAAAAAGAACAAAACAGCTAGCCTCAGCTAGGGAGTTGTTCTGAGGCTGGAGGTTTATTGAACACAATGGTGAGATTTGGTTGCTCCCTAAGAAACCAGTGTCTGCAGCTCTAAGCTTTTAACACTACTACTTTCAATTAAGGACTTTCTTGTATTTATCTCTCTTTAGTTGCTTTTGAGTCAATTCCAACTCAGGTGACCCCATGTTTTGAATTGAATGAGTTCCATACTTACTTTATTATTATTATTTGCTATAGCCTTATTGGGAGCTCTGATAGTGCCTAAGGCATTTGACTGCTAACCATAAGGCTGGTCGTTCAAACCCACCACCCACTCCTCGGAAAGAAGGTTGGGCAATCTCCTTCCATAGTGATACCGCCTCGGAAACCCAAGGAGGGGTTGCTATGAGTCGGATCCCAATAAATGGCAGTGAGTTTGGTTTTGGTTTTGTTTTTATGGAAGCAGCTAGGCTTTTTTCTCTTGGCACCACTGAGGGGGTTAGAACTGCCCGTCTCAGCAGCTGAGCACCACCCAGAGAATTCTTGCCCTCATAAACCTCCTTCTTCATGTTTCTGCATACTCGTCACTTTTCTCATGGCTTCTGTGTACTGACATCTTTGGGTTTATCTTTTGCTGTTTCTTTTGCTTCTCTATTCAGAAATTCCCCGAGAGAATGTGATGAGTTCAAGCAGTTTTCCAGTTGCGACCCTGTTAAAGATTGATGGCAAGCCTACACAGGCTACTCCTAGACCAGGTATCTCCTTCATCCAACTGTGAACAAGGTAATGAGATCACTCGGTAAGTTACTTTTGCAGGGCCTGAGATATGGGATATACTAGCCCAAAAGAAGGAAGTGTAACTTGAAAGCACCTTGTTTCATGATAGTAAAATGTGTAACTATCATCTAGGAAAGTGCCTAGACAATAGCAAGTATACATTATGAATGGAATTAGCTCAGTAAACTGTCTGGAAGCATTGGACATAATTCCATATTAATGCTAAGTTTGACACTGACCTGATCCTAAATCAATTTTACACCTTATTTAAAATAATTTCCAAACCATGTAAGGACAACCTCAAATATTCTGACATTGTTACTTCATTGGTTCCTATTAGACCACACTAAATTTGTCAAATGCTGTTTTCAGATATTTAACATTATTAAAATCTTGTTATCTTCAGAAAATCCAACTAGCTTTTGAGTTGCTGAATTCCTAAAACTTGCTTTCTTTCACTATTACCCTCCTCTATAAAATTGGTAAAGGAAGCCTGGTGACACAGTGGTTAAAGCATTTGGCTGCTAACTGAAAGGTCCGAGGTTTAAACCCACCAGCCACTCTGTGGCAGAAGGATGTGGCAGTCAGCTTCCATAAAGATTCTTTCTCACTGCTGTCAAGTCGGATCTGACTCACAGCGACCCCTCCTTGGGTTTCTGAGGTAGTATCACTGCAGAAGTAGATTGCCCAACCTTCCTTCTGAGGAGTGGCTGGTGGGTTTGAACCGCTAGCCTTCTTGTTAGCAGTCAAATGCCTTAGGCAGATTCCAGTCTTGGAAATCTTATTGGGCAGTTCTACTCCGTCCTACAGGGTCACTATGAATTGGGATCGACCTGACAGCAATGGGTTTAGTTCGGTTTTGGAATAAAATTTGTCATTTTATTTGCAATTTATTTCATTTTATTCCAGACTTAGATATTTTTACTGCAAGGAAAATTGTTATGATCTTACTGCCTGCTCAAAAATTTCTAAGGTTCTTTAACTTGCATGAAATATTTTGATCACCTCTGATTTTTTGTTACATAGCCATGACATAAATAAATGGGCAGCAAGTACAATTTCAAACAAAGGCAAGGATTCTGTGTCTGCTTTGTAGTTGGCTAAATTTGAAAGCTCAATAAAGTGCAATTCCCAATTTTTCAGTCCCAATGTTTTGCTCTCTCAATTGTGTAAATTCTCTTTAAGGCCTTCCTTAGAAGTGTTGGACTTGGTTGCAGTCTGCCCTCATTCCCATTGCACTATTGCCCCCTTCAACAACCCCTGCCTCTTGACGTTCTTTGAGTGAATGCTCATCATTTGTCTCCTCAGTCAACAACTTGACCCCTCAGTGGCTGTACTATCTCTACAAGTAAACTGTTTTCAAAGAATATCCTGGAATCAAGGGTGCAGCGTTTCTTTTTCTTTGATGTGAACATAAGCGTAATAATGCATTGGTAAGTATGTTAAGAGAGACCGACATTCTTGGCATCTTGCATCATTTGAGAGCATTTTCACATGATATTATTGATATTATCAGTGAACTGGACGTAGAACATATTAAAACATTCAAAAACCAAACCCATTACCATTGAGTCGATTCTGACTCACAGTGATCCCTGTTGGGTTTCCAAAGCTGTAAATCTTTATGGAAGTCGACGCCCTTACCTTCCTTCCTGGTTAGTGAGTTTGAACCACTGACCTTCTGGGTAGCAGCCAAATGCCTTATCCACTAGGCCATCAGAGCTCCTTATATTAAAGCATAGATAAACAAAAATCTACATCTCCCAATAACAGTAGGAAGATTAACAAAAGGTGAGAGAAATATTTGAAGATTTTAACCTATTTAGAAGAATATAGACCTAGGTCTGTGTTTTGACTCTTTAATTAAAGAAAGCATAGGAACATTTACCGGAGCTTTCTACCACCTTACTAAAACTTGAGGAAGTTCTATTCTTGACATGCTACTACAGCTCAAACCCGGTTGTGTGATCAGCTACATCTAATGAAAAATGTATTTACTGAAATCCTGAAATGGAAACGTCTTTTGCTACTTGTTGTTATGTGCTGTCGAGTTGGACCCGACTCATAGCGACCTCTCCTTGGGTTTCCGAGGCAGTATCACTACGGAAGTAGATTGCCCCATCTTCCTTCCGAGGAGTGGCTGGTGGGTTTGAACCGCCAGCCTTCTGGTTAGCAGTCAAGTGCCTTAGGCACTACGCTACCAGAGCGCCCTCATTTGCTACTTAGAGGTAGCCTAAAGCATAAAAAAACAATAAAAGGTATTGTGGCTGATTTGTCGTCTTCCTATTTTTAAGCAGAAAACAAAAAGTGACAATGAAGTGGTTATTCTCCAAATCATCAGTTCTTGTATTTTCAGAAAATGATTTTAGAAAATTAAGCTTTGTGAATGACAGAAACCTAAACAGACCATTGCTTAACCAGAGCAAAAGTTTGTTTTGATAAGGGAGTCTCCAATTAATGGGTTTTATAAAGAAAATATGACAGAGGAGAGTATAGTAGATACACACACAATGCTTTCATTTCTAAAAAGTATATGGTTGAAGTTACTGGAATGGTTTTAATTCTCCATATTGTTTTGGTGGCCAGATTTTCAAAATTTCTTCAGCAGGACAGCACAAGTGCCTCTCAAAGATTGTTTAAGTTTGGCCAGTGGCCACTGTCCCTTTAGATCGGGTGGACTTTCTTCCTAGCACCTTTTCTTTTAGACTTCCTTACATTTTCTGATGTTTGCAAGCCTGCGCCCATGTACTCCTCCCTACTTCTATGTGAGTGATGGACAAATGCTTTTATCTATGCCAGCTTGACGACTGTGCTTAAAAACAGATTGCTGCTTAACTGACTTTTACCATTTAACATTGAAAAGCTAAGAAACCAAACTCACTGCCATCAAGTGGATTCCCATTCATAGCAACCCCCTTTGGGTTTCCAAGGCAGTGAATCTTTACAGACGTAGATTGCCCCATCTTCCTTCCTCACAGTAGCTAGTGGGTTTGAACCACCAACTTTATAGTTAACAGTTAAATGTATTAGGCATGTTTCAAACAGATTTATCTTTTTAATAAGGTCCTGGTGGTGTAGTGCCTAAGGCATTTGACTGCTACCAGAAGGCTGGCAGTTCAAACCCACCAGCTGCTCTGCAGAAGGAAGATGGGGCAATCTACTTCCATAAAGATTCACTGCCTCGGACTCCCAATGGGGGTCGCTATGGCTGTGAATTGATTCAATGGCAGTGGGTTTTGGGTGACTGGTGCAATGATTAAGCACTCAGCTGCTAACCAAGAGGTCAGTGGTTTGATCCCACTAGAGGGAGAAAAGGCTCTGCTCCCATAAAGATGACAATCTATGAAATCCTATGGAACAGTTCTACTCTCTCCTATAGGGTTGCTATGACTTGTAATCGACTACACATAGTGTACAAAAATAATAGATCAAAATAGTCAGACTTCCACATACACACATAAAGATATCTTATGTACTAATAACTTAGTGATTATGACCTTTGGTGTTTCTTAGTCTGTAAACTTAATCAAAATATTATTATTTTAAAAGACTATTCTGAGATGTGCTACGGCACTTGACTGCTAACCAGAAGGCTGGCGGTTCAAATCCACCAGCCACTCCTCGGAAGGAAGATGGGGCAATCTACTTCCGTAGTGATACTGCCTCGGAAACCCAAGGAGGGGTCGCTATGAGTCGGGTCTGACTCAACGGCAAACAACAACAACAACAACAACAATTCTGAGATTCGACTGGAAAAGAGTTGAGAACAGAAACCTTCTGGGAAAACACCCAGCAGTATCTTCACTTTTCACAGACTCGAGAAACTGTGAATTCTAAACACGGGTTGGTGCTAAAGGTAATGTTAACTTTTTTTCTTACATTCAACAGAAAATTACATAAAACAACAGGCTATTGGACAACTCCTACCAGCCAAGAGGCTAAATCTCTTCAGTCTCCTGAGGACTCACTTCTGCAGTAAGACTGAAGGCCTTCATCACACTTCAATAATAAAAAGCATGCACAATTCATTAAGAACATAGACAAGGCTTTATGTTATATTTATTTATTTTCCAGCTTGTACAAACTGGATGTGGAAGCATAAACATAGTACATTTCTACCATTTTCAACAAAAATATAACCAATATGTACAATTATTGTATTAAAAATACAAAAGGGATACAGACTCCACCAATGTCTTTCTAAAAGACATACAGGTACAAGTAGTATCAAAAGTATGAGGAAATCACCAGTTAATTGTACATTCTGCACTTGACATCACAGAGCGAACTGAGATTAGCAGTCCTATGTTCTACAATTACTTAATGCTTAGATAACATTTGTGCAACTTGTGGTAGAGCTAGATTTCTGTCTTTCTATATGCACATGAGGTCCATAGCCTATATAATAAAACTGGCAAATAATGCATATAACATGTAAAATTACAAATGCATAATTGACAATGTAATATATAAGCAAGTAGACAAATGCCATGATACAGAAGAGAATTATTAAATAAAGCACTGACATTGTTTGATACAGTGAAAAAACACTGCAATTTGACTTTTAAAATTTGAAGCTATTTACGTTTATCTACTGATCAATATGATCAGCTGAATTTAATGGAAAAAAAAATCCAAGACCAGCAGTTCCTCACATTTGAGTACTACTCGGATTGGCAGCCTTCACTTTTCCGGAGTCTGTGCAAAAACAACACAAAAATAGAGTGGAAGGGTCATTTTCAGTCATAGGGTTAATAGCAGCTGTGAGCAGGTGGTTGCTACACTTAGGCCTTCTCTATATACGCAGTGTCCAGAAAGTCACTTACAGGTTAGTCTTTGGTGACTAACCTGCCTTGCAAAGGCTGGCATACCTAACCAGGTCTTTAATCTGTTTTCATCTTAAAGGCTTGTTTATTCCCTATTATCAATTCAATAAAGGGAGGCTGCCTTGAAAGAGCAGTATTAACAGCTCGTATTAGCTCCAACATCCCAAGCTGCTTTCACTGCAATGCTATCCAGTTATAAACGTTTCTCAAAAAAAACAAAACAAAACAAAAAAGAAACCCCCTAAAACTCTAAATTAACAAAAATCAAAGAAACAACTTAAAACATGGGGTTTGCCATCCATCTCAATGGAGCAAGACGTCCTCAAATGACGCTTTCCCACACTCCATAAGGCTCAGACATAGGACACAACAGTCCTATTTCCCTCCCCTGGCCATGTGCAAACAGGATTATGGAAGAACCCCACCCACTGGGGAAGGAGCAGATGAGGTGTCTTGGTATTTAAGTAATTGGCTAACATTTTAAACTTCCAGGATAGGGCACTTCACAGGTGAGTCCAGAAGGACACAGAAAGGCAGGATTACAAGCCAGGCCTTCCTGCTTCTTAGCTGGGCCACACTCTGTCCACATATTTGGTTTTTCAGAAACCCAGGCTGGCAACCCTACTTAAAGGTTCAAAATAATACTGTGATCATCATTACATGGATATAACATTACTCTCTGAACACAATATTTAAATTCCTTACAAAAAAAAAAAAAGAAAGAAAAGAAGAGGACAACATTGTAAACAAGTGGACAAGCACTGTACTCAAAGAATTTAATTTTGTTTCTTTGTCTTCCTTGGAGGGTTAAAGGCCCCAAGTAGTTCAATGGCTAGCTTTTCTCATTATCCCAATGACACCAAGTGCTAGGACTGGATGGAATCTAAAAGGAAGAGTTTTTAAAAATCCTTCCAGGCATTGAGAAGTACAGCCAGAGTGAATCATCTTGTTGTGATGATCTTGGAATTTGGAATGATATTGTGTGATGTGGCAGGCAGCAATAGTGGGAACTTGAAAACTGCTGCACTGTGCATTTCAAGCAACAAAGTCTGAAAAGTGCCAGGGCAATTTCTTCACAGTATTTCACATGCAAAGGGGAAAGGAAAAAGGGGAGAAGAAGCCCCATGCTGTTTTAAGGCAGGGAAGGAGGCAAACTGGTCCACCATCCTCAGATTTTGAGTTCCAATCTCCAATGCTAGGGACCTCTTCTTGTGCTCTCCTTGTAAGTGGCTCACTCTGGATCCAGAAAAGCCTGTGCCTCAAACAGCAGATACTTGTTCATCTTCTGCAAACACAACCAGGAAATAAATAAGTAAATAAAATCAGTGTGAAAGCAAGTCATTTCTTATGCTATACAGAAAATATTTACTGATGTGCTAAATGAAAACACTACAACTCTTCTTTTTAGTATAGCTTACTTAAACTTTCATTTTTTTCTAGGCGATGACTGACAATAATACTTTTAAAAGTTATTTTTTAAAAAAGTATCATACATATCTTTAAATATATATATATAATACAGGTCATCTGATCCATGATTACTGACTGGTCTCTGTTCACTTGGGGCAACAGAGGAAAGAGAGTCAGGAATACAAGCAGGAAATGGAAGTATGGACAAATGCCTCCATGAACAACTATGTTCTTTGCCATGAGACAAGAACTTGATGCTGCCCAGCTACCGCTGTTTAATGTGATCAGAGATTCTATGAATGAATCATGATCAAAAGGGGAGAAGTACAAAACAGAATTCCAAATTCTCATGGACTCCAGACTTCCTGGATCCATGAAGTTTGGATGAATTCCTGAAACTGAGATAATCTATTTCTCTGAGATAATCTTTAAACATTAAAATAAAAAATATCCCCTTCAAGTCTTCTTAAAATCAAACAATAGTTTAGCTTCAGTAGTGAAAAATGTCACTCTTTTAAGAATTTTCTATATGGGCTCAAACTGCCAACAGCAACTTGAAAGATTAGGGGCAATGAATTTATGTTAACAGGATAGGAACAATTCAGAAAATGAGGGTAAGAATATTTGCACAACTTGAAGAATGTAATCAATGTCACTGAATGGTACACACAGAAATGGTTAGACTTATGTATGTTCTGCTGTATATATAGTTTCAATAATAAAATAATTTTTTAAAAAAAATATACAATATATAAAAGTATACCTTGTAAATTTACTGACATGGAGATTTTTAATAACGAACTCACTGAAAAAGTTATAAAACTTTTATATAGCATGTGTCATTTGAAAAATAATACATACTAATATACACAGGAAAAAGAAGTATAAAGGCTATATAAAAATATTAATAGTAGTTATCTGCAAGTATAAAGACTGTTGGCAATTTTCATTTATTGTGGCCTTTGTACCCCCACCTTCAGTGATTATTTGTTTAACAAAACATTTTAAACTAAAATATAAAAAAAAAGAGGTGGAGGACAAGATCTCCTGCCTTAGCCTCAATCCAGCATGGCAAGATAAATTGGTAGAAAGAAGGCAACAACTTAGTTAGACAATAGAGAAAGTATACTTCTTTATCAGTCTTTCATCTTTATCAGTCTTTGAAAAGTCCAAATACAACATTTCCACAGAAAAGCTTAAATACCCAAGTTTTACAACTTAAGATGTTTTCAGAAATTCTTGAAAACAGCATTGATGTGGGAGAATTTAATAATTTCCTTAAAATGGGGCCACAGAAGTACTTCAGTTCTCTTCAGAATTAGACAAGAAATTGAATCATGTACCAGTGACCCCATCTGGAATACTGTGTAATATTCCTTAACCCATTTAGGGAGGGGGATAACATTACACAAAGAAAGCAGTCAAAAGTTTAGAAGTCTGAACAGAGAATGTTTTTCACTCAAGTATGTGGTTAGAAACTCAGCTATGTACCAAATGAAAACAGTGTGAAGAAAACAGAAACACCTTGGAAAGGTTACTAAAGGTACCATAAATTTACACATCTATAAGAATGCATATATACCATCCTCCTCAGTGGAAAACCCTTGAGACTGATATGGGGCGAGGCGTGGGTCTGACTCATTTGGTTTATGCCACTGAGGTTTGTTCACAGGTCTGCTGCTTGTTGGATGCCCATGTGGCTGCTGCTGTACTGGGGAAGGCCCAGGCATTTCAGAGGATCGGGCAACCATCCGCGATCTCTGAAGGGCCACATTGTAGTCTGGAGGTTTCCTGGCTGGATGAGAATGTCCTTCTGGGAAGTCCGTGATAGGGATTCCAATGTAGCCTGGAGGGGTTGGTGGGGGCTCTCGATACCTGCCCTCCTTCCGTGCTATAGTAAAAACAATGGATACACCATTAAAAGTCTTGTGGGAGAAGAATATTTCATGCCACAAAGTTGTACTTGATAATTACTACACAGCACTTTAGATTTTAAACATCATGTAACAGCAAATGTGATTTTACGTGGTATGGAGAAGACGCAGGGGTATGTGGTAGGCAGGGAGATGGATGTTAACTAAACTTAAAAATTTACAATCTTGATTTCTTTGTGGTGAAATAATTGCTGGGACACACTACCGGACAGTCTAAGTACCCTTAACTTTAAATGGACTACTTCAAAACTTGTCTTCAACTATAAAATAGAAATAAGGTCAACATCCAACCCTTGAGCTTACTGAAAGGATTAAACCAAAGAAAGGACATAAAAAGTATCTAGTACCGTGCCTGGAACATATTAACTAGCTGCCATCGAGTCAATTCTGACTCATGGTGACCCCATAATGTGTCAGAGTGGAACTATGCTCCACAGGGCTTTCACCAGCTGATGTATCGGAAGGAGACGTCAGGGCTTTCTTCCAAGGAACCTCTGGGTAGACTTGAACTGCCAGCTTTTCAGTAAGCAGTCACACACACTGATTGTGTGTGCCTCCCAGGGACTGGAACACAATAGTGCTTGGTAAAAGTTCACTTTCTTCCTTTTCCTGACCCAGACACAAAGTAGGCTATTCCATCTTTGCTGGGCATTTACTCTTACCAGGCAGAGAATCAATTTCCTATCACTTTCAGGTATCTGGATCTCACTTTGGAAAATAATGAATTTTTAAAAATTTTGGAAAATAGTACAAAAGGCAAAAATGTAAACTTCAAAACTCAAACAGTAAGATACATATTTTTTTCTTAAAATCCTTTCACATTAATGTCCATGACCTGAAACCTGCAAATAAAGTGATCATTTTATTTTTCTTGAACTTTCTAGATTTAACTAGTGGGAAATAAAAAATACTGTTCTTTTATTTGTAATAAACATTCTGAACATAATTTGTTAAAAGATAGCGCTTTAAGAAAATTACAACCTAAGGATATACATTTACTGTTACCTCTTTACTCATCATAAAAAGATATTAAATTGGACATTCACCAATGAAGCTATATATAATCTATATATAATGTTTATACTTTTATATATAAAAGTCTTTACATATAATCCATTTATATAGTAATAAATAACACTCCTAAATCAAAATTAGACTAGATAATTTCCAGGCAAAACAATTATATAGTAAAAAAAATAATTTCCCTACAAATAAAAGTGAGCTCTGAAATTATTATATTCAAGAAATTTTCACTCTACATCCTATAATCAATTCTTACACTTCAATTATAGACACTGAATATACCATAGAAATAATATCCCCATTGGACTGAAGAACCAGGAGCGCTTCAGAAACAGCAGCAGCGAAGCAGTAGCATCTTTCCTGTACTTACGAGTTCACCATTCTAAGCACTGGTCTAAACGCTTTGCATAGATTTCCTTTAATCCTCACTATAATTCTACTATGTAGAAATTATTAAATTCATTTTACAGATAGAGAAACAGGCACAGTTTAGCACCTAGCTCAACATTACAAAATTAGTAACATGGCAAACAAGGGATGTAAATCCCAATCGACCTTATAAAAGCCCATGTTCTTAACTCATTACACAATCTACTAGCACTCTCTCATTTTACAGGGTACAAAGAGAATACATTTGTTTAGCATAGAAACAATCTGTCTGCATAACACAAATTAATGAAAAATTTTAAATATGCAAAGTGTTAACATTCTAAATCAAGAGATGCAAGTAGAATAATGCAATGTTTAAAATAGTTTCAATCAAACAAAAATTCTCCCTTTAAAAAGGGAGCATCTTCCTGACACATTTCATGACCCACAGGACATGTATCGTCCACTAACATTTTCTTCTTCTCAGGTTTCTTGGGAAGCTACTATCCCAGTTGGACTACATGCTACTGTCTGGCAATGACCTGTATAACTCTGTGAATCTGAAGAAACCAGCCTCACCCAGCCAATTCTAACACCAGAGTCCACTTTGTACATATGCATCCCACATAATTGTACTGAAATTCATATTACCTCAAAAAACTCTTTTTGCCTTAATTTCCTTGAAATCAAATCGATGGAAAGTATTTTTTAAAAAAAAAAACAAACAATGGACAAAACAAGGAAAAGAATCACAAACATAAATTTTACTTTTCAAATAAATTACACTAAAATCACAATTCAGATGTGACAAACACTCTGATTCCATTACTAAAAATACACGGCATCAACAAAAAAAATCAAAGTAAAAAATAATTCGGTTATGGAAGAGTTATAAATCGAAACTTGTTGTTGTTACATGCTGTCGAGTTGGACCTGACTCATAGCGACCCTTCCTTGGGTTTCTGAAGCAGTATCACTACAGAAGTAGATTGCCCAACTTTCCGAGGAGTGGCTGGTAGGTTTGAACCGCCAGCCTTCTGGTTATCAGTCAAGTGTCTTAGGCACTATACTACCAGAGCTCCTAAATCAAAATTAGACTAGAAAATTTCCATAATGACAATCTACTGATCCTGACAGCTATGATTTATTGAACGTTGACAATACTGTACATATGTACCTAACCACAAAACTTATACTCTTAACCATTATTCATTTCAAAATCCTAAATTTATTGTTAATTAGGAAGCCCTGTATACCAACACAGGCAACCCTGGGTAGCACAAATGGTTTGCACTTGACTATTAACCTAATGATTGGTGGTTTGAACCCATCCAGGGATGCTGTAGAAGCAGAAAGATCTGCTTCTGTGAAGATTACAGACTAGGAGACCCTATGGAGTTCTATTCTAACACATGTGATCACCATAATTCGGAACTAACTCGATGGCAAAAGGGTTTTTTTTTTTTTTTTTGCATTATTCATCAATGAGGAGTCCCTGAGTGATACAAACAGCTAACATGGTTTGCGTTCACCCAGAGATACCTTGGAAGAAAGGCCTGGGGATCTAATTCCAAAAAATCACACACTGAAAATCCGATACAGCATACTTGTACTCCGACACACACAAACAAACAAACTCACTGCCATTGAGTCAGATCCGACTCATAGCTACCCCTCCTTGGGTTTTCGAGGCAGTATCACTACAGAAGTAGATCACTCAATCTTCCTTCTGAGGAGTGGCTGGTGGGTTTGAACCACTAGCCTTCTGGTTAGCAATCAAATACCTTAGGCACTATGCTACCAAAGCTCCTAGACACACAGGGCCACTGGGAATTAAAAGAAAATCAATAGCAATTTTTTTTTTAAAAAAAATTACAACTATGAACAAAATGAAGAGAAGAATCACAAACATAAACTTTTCAAATAAATGAGGTTAAAATCACAGTCCAGATGTCACAAAGCACCCTAATTTTTAAACTTACCAATAAGACCTTTTGTGGTACTTGATGCCACAGCTATGTGAGCAGGCATGGGGACTGGTTTGGTTTCTTCTGTGGTCACAGATGCCATGCTAGTGCTTTCAGCTTCAATGGAAACATCTTTCCCACCCCTTCGCTTTATTGTGCCTGTATCACCTTCAGAGTCTTCTCCCCAGTAACCAGTGGAAGACGCCCAGCTTGCTCGCGATTGGGCTTGTTCAAGACACTCTCTACTTTGATTTTGCCTATTATACTTTGTGCTATGATCAGAAAACATAATTTGGTCCATATGGCTGCTTGAGGCCCATAAACCTGCAGGATCCCCTGAATAATCAAAGTGAGTATGCCCAAATGGAAGCGTTTCCCAGCTCCTCTGGTGCTGGATGGTTTGTATGTTATCGTGGGAACCACTTGAGCATGAAGTCCAGCTCCCACGGCCGCTGTCGGCAGCATCAAGTGAAGCGCGATCACCCTGATCTTGAGAAAGTTCTTCTGTGCTTGGAGAAGAAATGACTGTAGCTGTGGCATATAAACCCCGACTCTCAGACACTGGTGCACAGGACCTAAATTGTCAACAGAAATGAAAAAGAAAAAAAAACACTGTTAACTAAAACCTATGACATAACAACCCCCGCCTCACCCCCTACCCCAAAAGTGTGTTTCTTTCATCCTAGGAAGAAAATGAAAGTGCCACTGAGTTGTATTATGCTGGCCTGGTCTGTCATGTCCAGTTTCTCAACTTGTCATCACCATAAAATAAGATGAGAAAGAACAACTTGATTGTAATAAAGGAATGTGTTCCTTACAAGGTTAAGGATGGCTCAACATAATCAGATTATTTCAGGAAGGCAGGTCATATCAAGGAACTGGGATAAATCCTAATGTCACCCTCTGCTTTCAACACAGCACAACTGTGATTCCATGAAGAACATGTCTAATTGAATAGCAGTCTGCACAACAAATACAGGACTAGAACTTAATAATCTACAAATCATGAACATTAAAATTGGGATGGGAGAATATTTCTTAGGCATTATGTAAAGTAGAAATATTCATCCAGAACAATAAACTCAGTTATAAAAAAAAGCTGGAAGCAGGATATAAAAGAACATTAAAGAAAAGCCTCCTACCCTAGGCTATATTGATCAGGTTCAATCATGGTCCGCCTTTCCATCCTGCCCACACCTAGGCTGGCTTCCACAATGCTGACAGAATGCCTCTGGTGCCTATCATCATGCAGCGAAACTGGCACCGAGTCAAAGGACGAATTGCTGACAATACTGGATCGTGACGAAATCTCACTGTGACCAGAATCTGAAAAATTATCCACAGTACCACTAGGAGCCAAAGTATAGCCTGCATGGGAAATACAACCATAATAATTACATAAAAATAGTAACTATCAAATAAAAGCAAAAATAAAACGCAGGCAAAGTAGGGGGAAAAACCCAAAACATTCTACTTGTAGAGATCAGGCAACAAAGAGATAAAGTAAATTTTTACTCTAATGAAGCTTAAATTGCTTACTGAAAGTTTAGAGAGGAAAAAAGAAAACATTGTTACATGAGTTAGGAAATGATATAGAAATCACAGCACTACTAGACTACTTTTAGTTCCCTTAGCTATAGGTTAGATTACTATTTGTCTATCTAAAACAAACTATGATGATTAACTATGAGATTTAAAAGCATGTTTGATTTTTTTTCAGAGTGCAAAGTTAGTAATCTTGTTTTCAATTTTTATACAATTTTAGTATTATTTCATTTTAATACAGAATAGTATCTGTATTATACTTAGAATTCTAAGTGGACATATAAACAAAAAAATAAAAAATAAGAGTTTAAGAAGATATCATGTGAATTTTTTGCCATTTGGTTTTTTAAAATTAAATACTGTATTAGATGAATCTCATAAAAATCAGTTCTTCTGAAGGATGTAATGCACAAATCTTCATATTTTCCCCCAGACCATCACTATAAAATGTCTGAACAGATGTCCTTTGTTGCTAAAAGTAACTCTGAAATTCACAAAGAGCCCTGTCTTGACATTTTTAATGAAAAAACCCAAATCTTCTTTCTCAGTACCTTTTTTTTCTTTTTTACAACACTATTAAGGATCTCATATCCTATTTAAAATACTGTTTTTATATGATTACATGCAACAGAAATTTTACAATGTCACTTAACTAAAAACAAAAAAATCCAGAACACCTAAATGTTGCAAAAATACTCTCTAAATAGTACTTCTCCAACTTTTCAGTAAACTGTGTATTCCTGATTTATTTTTTAAAGTTTGCACAGGTCTTGATAAGATTTAATGTGTTCATCTCTGAAATATCTTTTTAAAAATCACACTGCAAGGTTGATAGATAAGAGTTAAAGTTTGCTTTAAAAGAGACAACAAAAACTGCTAAAAACAAAAAACACCTCTAGAAAAATAATCACTCATAAAGAACATTTGATATTTGGAGGAACTCTCCCATTTTCCTTAACTAATGAGATGATTCCTTTCTTTCCCACCCGTGTTTTTGGTTCTATAAACCCCACCTATCCCATAGGTCCGTGGTGCATTGTTATTCTTGTTACTGTTCTCACTTCCAAGAGAAGAGGAGGAACTGGTTAAGTCCAGCTGCCCGGAGCCAAAAGATCTCAGTTGACAGCCAATGCCACCTAACAACAGGATGAAAAAAGAATTTAGATATATCCATTTAACAAGGACAGTAGAGACTGATACCCACAGAAAACTCAAAAGATGTGTGAAATGTCTAAAAATTAAAGCACCAAAAGGCATTTGCTGCCTCAAATAAAACAATTAGCCTTCTTGGCCTTCTTTTGGGGAAAACTAATTCTTAGCCATTTATTACTGGCTTACACCTTGTCAATTAAAAGGTAGGAGAAGAAAATGGTGACATGTTACGTGGTGGAAAATGATCATCAACATGAGGAGAGTTTGCTTGAAATTTAGTTTATTTAAAAACAAAACAAGATAGCAACAGAAAAAGCAATCAAGACCTGTGTTAATGCAATGAAAAAATAAATCAGGAAGGTATTAGTTTATCTTATGTTTTTAAAATCCTCTTCTCTATAATGTTATATAATCTTAGTTAGAATAAGCTTTAATATCAAAAGGATACTTTTCACACTTAAGTACAATAAAGACAAATGTATTTATAAAGAGGGCTATGCAGTTATAAATTTAATACTATTTACTGTAGATTTATTATTTAAAAATAAAAACTCTAATTCTTCCAAATTTATAATCTGAGGGAAAAGAATCCACTGCATATTATGACATTATTTAAATGAATATAATATTAGAAATTATGAAGCATATAAATGTAGTTTATTATACCTGAAATGTATAATTGCAACAAAGAAGAAAATAAGTAAGGAAATAAATAATTCTACCTTTCCTTGGAGAACTCTGTGGAGAAGTAGGAGGAGAAGAAAGCTGTGAGGATGCATTTGATATTGTATCTTCTGCTTGTTTCTTGTGACGTTCCAAACTTCCTTCCTCAGACAAAGAAAGAATTTTCTTTAAAGCTTGCGGTGAATTTATGCCTGAAAGGAAAGTAAACAACTTAAATATGTGTTTTTAAGACTGAAAAGGAAGTGGCATTACTTACTGGAAAAAAAAAAAAAAAAATTGTGCTAATAATTCTGAATGTACATTTACTTTAAAAAGTGAAAAATGTTATTTAACTGAACTGGTTCATTTATTTCAGAAAATCTCACAGTGGGGTTATAAAACAAGAGTATGCTAAAGGTGCAAAAAAAAATCATGATTCATGTGTGCTATTGATGTATTGTAGGGTTTAATATTACATCAAGATTCAACCTATTTACAATTTAAATGCTCTGTGTACTCTTCATGTTATAAACAGTAAAGTTACAGAATGCATGAAAAGATCTAACAAAGATCTAACAAAGTCCCACAAATAGATGGCTACTAATATTTTTTATTAGGATTCTAAATCCTAAAGTAGTCACCTTCTTCACTCAACAGTATGTTAAGGGACAAAGAAGAAAGAAAGAAAGACAACTCGAAAAGATTTGAATCTTGAATAAAAGTGACACCAAAAAACCAAACCAAACCCACTGCCATTAAGTCAATTCCAACTCAGTAACCCCCACTGGGTTTCTGAGGTGATAAATCTTTACGGAAACAGCTTGCCCAGTTTTCCTTCCGTGGAGTAGCTGGTGGGTTGGAACCACCAACCTTCTTCTGGTTAGTAGTCAAATGCCTTAGGCACTGGGCCATCACAGCTAAGATTTATTAATAGGACTCAACAGGTATTTGGGTATTGTTGGATATATTAGCCCAGGGAAGAGAGAATGACAAGAGAAAAGTAAAAGGCCAAAAGTTAACTGGAATTAGTCAGACAAGTGAATCAGAGAGCTTTAAGGAATTCCATGTAGGTGGTGCAGTGATTAAAGTGTTCAGCTATTAACCAAGTAGATCAGTAGTTTGAATCTATCAGTGGCTCTACAGGAGAAAGATGTGGCAATCTGCTTCTGTAAAGATTATGGCTTTGGTAGCCCTACAAGGCAGTTCTACTCTGTTCTATAGGGTCACTATGAGTTGGAACTGACTTGACAGCAACTTTTTTTTTCTTAATATTTGATCAAATAAATGAATAAAGGAGAGGGGCAAGAGGAGACCCATCAAGTATTATATCACAGAAACCATGGAAAAATGTTTTCAGAAGAAGGGAATGATCCAGGGCCAAATGTAAATCCAAATACGATAAGGATGGAGGAAAAAGGAGTACGTATGCCAATAAATGGTGACCCCTCCCCTGCAAAACTTTTTTTTCTGTCAGATACAAAGGAGTCAGTCATTCAGATCTTTACAAGTCTCTCATATTAGTAAGAAGCCTTATTTTGAACAACAAAGAGATATTTGAGAAGGTATTTTAGACTAAAATTAACTCAAACAAGGTAAGTTTTAAATGTTCACAGACTTAACAGAATTCATTATAAAGGAAGCAACAATTTACCAACATTTATTCTTTCATATCACTTCATGAAGTGAAATGATGATGTTACAGTACAAATATTTTTACAAACCATCTATAAAAGCAACACTTAATAACTTTTTAGATACTAACATAAACAGGATATATGAAAATATCTACAATCTTAAAGCAACATGATGAGGCATTTTCATTTGGAAAATTCCCAAGGCCAGCACTATACACAGATTTGAAAGGTGCTGTCTTTCAGACGATGTAGATAGAAGTGAAGGTGATATGGCTTAAAAGACTGTGCTAGATACTTCAAAAGTGGCTCTAGTGATAACAAACACTGATATAAAAAATACACAGTATTTGGAAACAAATGAACTAATTTATTTCATAAGTTAAGAGTGAGAAGAATAAATCTCAATATTTCTAAATTAATACTGTAAATAAAACCTGTGAAAGCTGGAATCTGTCTAAGGCAGAAATTCATCAGAAGGAAAACTCAAATATTTACTACTAAAACGAGCAATAGAAATGTGGTAAGACTGTATTCTGTCAAAGGCAGAAAACTTCTAAGACCTGGAAAAACAAGAAAGTCTTGTCAAGTTCCAGCTCTCATAGGTATCACTGTATTTTATATAATGTGATTTTTAGTATAATTGGAATCTAAATAATATCATAAGAAAACATGACTATTTAATCCACATTTCTAAAGGGCACATATTCAGATGGGCCTTAATATATTCTGAGAGATTAATTCTCTTTGGGAACATGGAGAGTAACTATATATTCATGCAACTCCTACATTTCGGCTTCTAGACTGTATTTAGCTAAAAGGAGGACTGATAATCTTCCATATAAGACATTCAGGCTAAAAGATGTGGTCGAAGAGAGGTGGCAGGGGATTTAGGAATATATGCATATTAAGAATGTAATGGATACAGAAACATGTAATTCAGTGGTTTGTGATAGGGGGAGCAATAAAAATATTTGAAAGTGAAAATGTGTCATATAAGTTCTTTTCTCACCTCTCCAAACTCAACAAACAGGACACCTTCTAACAATGAGGAGTATGCCAAGGATAGAGTTTTTAAGGGATATATTACATGACTTGCCTAACTCATAAGGATGGGTTTTCACTGGGCAGGAAGTAAATGTACTTTAGTTATCAACATACTGTCTTAGCTAAGTAAACTTTTACTATGAGTTTATTTTTTAAAAGTTTCTTTCCTTTTTTAACATTACTTCCTTTCATATATACATAGAATCAGTACACTTTATGGACAATTATCCTTAACATGTGGGAATTATTTGTATTTTCCCCCCAGGTATAGAATCAGTGATTCAAAAAATAAGAATTTACTGCTTGATAATGATTTGACTTAAAAATATTCTGCCTAAATTCCAGTACTTCACTGATCATGTCATGTTTATGGTAGTTAAGATTATGTGTCAACTTGGCTGGGCCCGGTTTTGAATGGCTGAGCAGCTGGATGTTCTTATTCCTCATGATGAGATTGGTAATCAACTCCATAGTGGAATCTACTGTGAGCACCTGGGTAGCTGCCTTAGGGATGTGGTCTGCTTGCAGTATATAAGATGACACTCTAAGAAAGGTCTCTGAGCTTTCTGGTATGCTTGAACCCTGTAAATAGCTGAGTTTTCGTTCAGCAGCCTGCCATGTTGCCTGCCAATCTTGGACTGTTTCTGGACTTGGACTAGTGGCGTGCTATGTTGCTTGGTAATTTTGGGACTATGCTATGTTACTTGTCAACCTTGAGTTTGTCAGCCTCAGCAGCCAGCAGCTGTCTGAGTAAGAGAAGGCTCTCTAGCTTCAGTGGACCAGGAGCAAGAGGCAGAGCTGAAGCCCAAGGCTGAGGGGTTTTTACCCATCCCCTAGAGCTGGCACTTTGAACGCAGACTTCTAGCCTTCTAAGCTGCAAGAGAATAAATACCTATTTGTTCAAGCCATCCACTTGTGGTATTCTCTGTTAGAGCACCACTAGATAACCAAAGCAAAGTGTAAGACAAAAGTAGTTTTAAGTTATGTGTATGTTGTTGTTGTCGTTATGTGCTGTTGAGTCAGACCTGACTCATAGCGACCCCTCCTTGGGTTTCCGAGGCAGTATCACTACGGAAGTAGATTGCTCCATCTTCCTTTCGAGGAGTGGCTGGTGGGTTTGAACCACCAGCCTTCTGGTTAGCAGTCAAGTGCCTTAGGCACTAAGCAACCAGAGCTCCCAAGTTATGTGTACATCCAAAGCAAATTCTGTACTCAGTAACAATTAAATTAATAAGAGCGTAACTCTCCTATTCTACCCCTTGCCCTGACAAATAAGCCAGACTGAATGAGATACTACTTATAAAAATAGTTTCTTCCATTAGCAAAAATAAAGTTAAACTTAATACAAACAAACAAAAAAACTATCATCATTGAGTCAATTCTGACTTATGGCACCCATGTGGTACAGAGTAGAACTGCCTCATAGGGTTTTCTTGGCTACAATCTTTAGGAAGCAGATTACTAGGCCTTTCCCCAATGGCACCGTTGGTTGAGTTTGAACCACCAATCTTTAGATTAGTAGTTGAGCACATATCATTTGCATCATCTAGGATCCTGGCCATTGAAGTTTTATTAAGAGTTAATAATCACAGGGAAATTAAAAAGTATTAAATGAATGTATCCAAAATAAGCATTCTTTTCCTAATCTGAAAACATGACAGTGTATAGCACCAGAAAGGGAAATGAATTTAATCACTTACCAAAAGGTGGGAGATCCTTTACAGGTACTTTTTTTCGTGAAGGATAAAGAGAAACAGCAGGAACCTGCAGTCCTTGGTTGATTTTATGTGGCGGCTGTTGCTGTTGCTGTGGCTGTGGCTGGAGTTGTGCTTTCTGTTGCGACCCTGCCCTTGGAGCCACTGGGGAGGTCTCAGATTTGACAGGCTTTTTGTCGCCAGGATTTTTAGGCACTGATAGTTGTTTGGTTTCAAAATAGAACAAGAAATTCAAGGTGTTAGTAGCTATGAACAGGATAATTTTAGAACTGTGTAAGCGTTTTCTGTAATTAGTATACTAAAATATGTATCATTTTTCCTGCTGCCTGTATAAAGGATGAAAACCAAAACCAAACTCACTGCCGTTGAGTTGATTCTGACTCATAGTAATCTCTCCTTGGGTTTCTGAGGTGGTATCACTATGGAAATAAGATTGCCCAATCTTCCTTCTGAGGAGTGGCTGGTGGGTTTGAACCATTAGCCTTCTGGTTAGCAATCAAATGCCTTAGGCACTATGCCACCAGAGCTCCCGTATTAAAGGACAAGATGGCAAAAACAAAACAAAACAAAACAAACAAAAAAAAACCCAACCAACCTAGTCATAGAAAATATTAAAGGCATGGCATGACAATGATATTTATTTTATGAATTAGCTTCTCAAAAGATGATTATACTTTTAAATATTAAAAATATAACTAGAAGAATATAGATCAAGATGTATGTGCATTTATAGACATAATTAAAAAAACAGATTAATGATAAAAGCTCCAACAGGAACATCTTTAAGAATTATCTTTCTAAAATGGTGTTGAAAATTCCTTGACACAGATGAGCTAGGTTTTTATTTGCTACATGGTATTAACTGTGATCTTTTTACTATCAAAGTTTTCTCTGGGGTAGAATTTTCTGTATTAGTAATCCAATACTTCTTGAGATTTCTAAGTGTAAAATACAGTGGCAGATAGATAGCAAACAATTAACAGGACAATCAACTGCTACATGTGAGTATCTTAATATTAAAAAAACTCCATGACATCTATACTTCTGCCATTTTATCTATAAGGAAAGTAAGAAGAGAGCTAAAGTAACTTGTCTACAGTCACATTCTGGTAAGAAGAACAAGCAAGGCTGAACTCAGACCAATCTGAGGATATGCTCCAGAGGAAAAGCTTGTCACTGCAGCAAGCAGTGCTTTCATAGGGTCCTAATAAATTTAATAATCTGAATATTCTCAAATCATCTATCTAACGTACAAATTGTATAGATGGTATCTTTAAACTTTCCATAGAAGGTTCAAAAGTGTCATAAATGGAGAATGCCTCTGACTTTCAAGGACAGAAACCAGTAAAGAGAAAACTGCTCCAATTTTAGCCTAGCCAGATTTTTAAAGGATTAAAAGGTACATTTTGAGAGTGCCTTTGTGAGAAAACAAGAGACAGAAACGGAAGGAACCAAAGCAACAGCCATCCTAAATGAGGTGACAGTCTCATCCTCCCCATGTTGAGGGCCTGGCTTAGGACACTACTGCACAGTGTCCAATATCAGTGGCACTCAAGGCCAGGGAGACTAGTATGTCTCAGGACTACTGAACAGTTACTTTTTTCCCCTTTTTATTAAGCCCTGTTTTGTCACCACCTCATACCACTGCATATGGGAAGAATTTATATTCCAAAAGTTAGAATCTGCAGCCACCTTTAAAAAAAAAAACTCACATGTATTGGTCGCTGGCTCACACTGCAGTGATAATGTCTGAAGGCTCTCCTCATCCATTTCTAGCTCCAAGTTGGACAGGTATTGCTTCACTTTTCGTGCCATTTGGGCATCTTCATATAGCTTTTTGGCATTGAGAAAGGAACTACGACGTACCCGCTTTTTATGACCACCTGTCTGAGCAACATCTAGCACTGCTGCATTTGTACTACCCTGGCTGAGAGACCTAGAAGACGAAAAGGTAGATATGCAGCTCACTCTAGCATGGGATTACTTTACATACCTGAAACATGCCCAGATGTACATAAATATTCTATGTCCAAAATGTCACATCCCTCATTTAGTAAGTAAACTGTTACAAAAGAATATGGAGTAATACAGATTTTTTTTTTTCAGTTAAAAATAATTATACATACATATACCCACTCCTCATTTACTGACATGGTTAGGTTCCAAAGACCAGGTCATTATGCAAAAATATAAGATGACATCAGATCACAAAATGGAGGATGACCACAACATTAAATAGCTGCCAAATCACATCACCACACAACTGCCAAATTTAATTATTACAAAGCTGCCAAATTACATCCTTATGTAACTGTCAAACCACTGAGAATCATAGCCCAGCCAAGATGACACAAAATGTTAACTACCATGGCCAGCATTATTTGTGCCTTACAGCTTGGCATTTATTATTGCCAGACATACATTGTTATTGCACAGAATAAAAGATTTTTTTTTTTACTACGATAAATAGAAAATATCAGGTAACAAGAGAGCATGTATGTGAGGAGTAGGTGTGTATGTATGTTTGGCACCTGTTCTATTCCAACTAGAGAATTGTACTTTTGGTATCTATGGAGCATTCAAGGCAATCCTCTCAGAGAAGCCAGAAAATAATAACAATCATGCAAGAATACAGAGCTACAATCATTCAGATTCACAACAATAAGTTTACTTCTAAAAGGAATATTTTATAGAGATTTAAATAAAATAGCCATAATGTTCACAATTGTTTTCTTAGTCTTTGGATTGAATGCGGTAAGTTTTTAAGTAATATAGTAAATCTGTTAATAAAATGGTCATGCAAATGTAAACATACATGTATGGAAACTATTTAGCACATGAGTTGTTAGGAATTATTTTTAAAAGGATTGGTTTACAGAATGAAAACAGTAGTTAGTTGAGCTGTAAAAAAAATTAGTTTTAACACCTGGGGGTACCTTTTTTACATATTTACTTCTCAAGTATCTGTGCAATACTACTTTAATTGCACAATTTTCTCTCCTAGTATTTGCCTTCCCACCTCCACTTTAGGCTTTTCCCATTTTAAAAAAATACAAATTACATTAAAATACATCTTTCTGAAAGCTCAGAAATATGCCTGGCCTGTAGTTCCCCAGAACAATCATCAGTCATTTCACAGCTCTCATGGATCCTGACCTCAAAAGCAAAAGCCCCCACAGATTAAAATTGAAGTCAGTTTGCCATCTGAAATTCTGCTAGAGCAAGAGGGTTAAGAAAAAAAAAAAAAAAGCAAAAATGCAAAGCATCAGAAAATATAGCAGGTCAGAAAGCAATGCAATGAGCAGAGTAAGAATTGTGTGTGGGTAGGTAAGATCTCCACCACTTACCCCAAACTCCTCCACTTCTTCTTCCTGTAAGTGAGAGCCATGGAGATTGAAGCATGGGTATAGAAAGAGAGACAGACAGATCACAAGCTCAGAAAGAAAAGACTAGACTTCCTGGATAAGCAGTATTAGAGGCCCCCAGACATAATCTGCATAATCACCTCTCACACACAACTGTACCTGAAATATTTTTCTGGCTCAAAAGGAAAATATGTTTTAATTTTTTGTTCTAAAAGAAAACCAAGCCCTTTTCTCTCTCTACTGAATCAATCTTTTTTTTCCTACACTAATGGCTAAATCCAGTGGACAGTGAGTTTTATTTTCATTCACACTACCTAGTTTGAGTTTTAGCTCTCAAAGTCAATTTTCTACAAAAAAAAATAAGAAATGATAAATAATTGTAACCCACCAGCCACTCCTCGGAAGGAAGGTTGGGCAATCCTACTTCCGTAGTGATACTGCCTCGGAAACCCAAGGAGGGGTCGCTATGAGTCGGGGCCGACTCGACGGCAAACAACAACAACAACAACAACAATGTTAAATTGGGAGCTCTGGTAGTGTAGTGCCTAAGGCACTTGACTACTAACCAGAAGGCTGGCGGTTCAAACGCACCAGCCACTCCTCAGAAGGAATGTTGGACAATCTACCTCCGTAGTGATACTGCCTTGGAAATCCAAGGAGGGGTCGCTATGAGTTGGGTCTGACTTGACGGCACGTAACACCACAACAAAGTTAACTTACAAAATTTTGAAGATAAACTGCTTCCACTGCTAGTCAAAAGGACACTTGATGCAGATCTTTTTCTAATGTCTTATCATTAGAGTTCCATGGAGATTCTCAGCATGTACTAATGTAATATCTGCCATGTTACAAATATAAATATTCAAATGTTCCTCCTAATTCGTTAACAATCACTAACTCTACCATCCCTAATGCCAAGATGCTACTGCAGATGACAGACTCACCGAGTCCTGAACATGAGGGCAGGGTCCATGTTGACTGAAGCCATTCGGCCAACATGACGAATTTCTTTTGCAATCATCCTTAACTTCTCAAAATTGACCAGCCCATCTACTTTTGAATCATTTCCTGCAATTGGCAAAAAATAAAAAGAAAATCACAATGACATTCATTCTATGCTCCCACATGTGAAGGTAAAAAACCTCCATATTTACCTTCATGAAGGAATGTGAGATCCTTCTTAATAACTGGGAATAGCGGGATTATGGGAGGTTGTAAATTTTGACTATTAAGAACATTACGATACTTTGCCATGTTTCTGGAAGGATCAAACAGGTCTTGGAGATCTTGAAACAGTTTTTCATATTTATTGGGAAGTTTTTCCCAGGTGGTTCGCAGTCTTGCCACTGGTGCCAGGTTTAGGCCACTGAGAGGAAAGAAAGAAAAGTTGTAGAAAATTAAATGATCCATCCTTATGAAATGAAGGAAGTAAAGTAGTGTTATTTATAAATATGTAACACCTCTGTGTATATGCTTTATATATAGTTTATAGAAAGATAAGAAACAATTACTGATAACCCTAGTAATGAGAATGAAGGACAGAAGCAGTAGTGAGAACCATGAGGTTTTATTCTTTTTCCCTTTATACTCTCCTGATCCACATAAGCAAAACCAGTAGAATGTAAATATCACGAGGGTATGATTTTTCTGCTTTTGTCTCCAAACACGTAACAATAATTGGCACAAAGCAGGCGTTGATAAAACAGACCAGGCAAATATCCAATAATAAATAAAACAAAGCCATAATAGTAATGAGTACATGATCAAGCTCCTAAATAGAGAAAATGACTAATTTAATCATCACTATCACTACCACCAAGGAGCTCTGGTGGCACAGTGCCTAAGGAATTTGACTGTTAAGGTGGTGGCTCAAACCCACCAGCCACTCCACGGAAGGAAGACTGGGCAATCCACTTCCATAGAGATTTAATACTTCAGAAACCCAAAGGGGGTCACACTATGAGTTGGAATTGACTTGATGGCAGTGAGTCGGGTTTGGTTTGGATCACTACCATCACCAGCACCATCACCACCACAGCTGTTTTCAATTTGTATTTTGTTCCAGGGTCAATCTAAGCAGTAAGGAAAGAAAATGAACATTTATTGGGTATCTGCTTTGGTTTGTCTGATGGAGTTCAAAATACGTTATATAATTTAATCTTCTTGGCAACTCCTTGGGGTATTGTTACTTTATAGACAAACAGACTGAGTTCAGAGAATTTCAAATAATTTGCCTAAGGCCACAAAGCTAAAAAAAAAAAAAAAAAAGTGGTGGCTATAGATTTTCTGGGCACTAAATTAGAACATATTAGGAATTTGAAATTAAGGATTAGGATTAGAATTCAGAGGGAAAAAAAAGTTGTTCATTTGATTTAATTAAAAACCACTAAATTTATACAAATTATATGGTACTTCTAGATTGGTTTTTAATCTGTGAACTGAACTGAATCTGAAGGCAAATTCACTCATATTACCTGATGATTGCAAACATTGAGTTAAAATTCTTGCATTCCCTACAGTGTAGTGCTATCTTGATGAAATGTTTAATAATCTTCATCCTCTTCAGCTGGTTTGTCTCTCTCAGAATTTCAGATGCCACCCAAAATGTTTCCTGGTTAATGACTTCTTCAAATTTCTTCAGGTTGGCACAGTTGGTTTTTGATTTGAGTTTAAATAAATCATCTATATATTCAGTAGGTTCAATGTTGCGGAAGAGTTCAAAATTTCGCATGGAGAGCTGTGTGGCAACTTCCACAGTACTGAGCTGCAGTAGGGAAATTTGACTCTCTCTTAACAACTCCTGAGCATCTTCATCTGAACAAAGTGTTTCTGTTTCCATATTGTTTTTCAGATAATACCTATGAAAATCACATAAGCATGTCAGATTTAAAGCCTCACAGCAGTCTCTTGATGTTCCTTGAAAGAGTATAATACTTTTTATGCAAAGTTTAAGAGTACACTGAATTAAATGATGGAAAAATTCTTTGCAATCCAGGGAGAAAATGTAGCTGCTATCTTAGTCACCAGGTCATACAATCACCTATCCAACAAATTACATAGAATTTCACTTGTAATAACTGTAATTATTACTCTTTCGCCTTTCCTTCCCTTCTCTCTAGATTTTTATTTTTTCCTGAAAATGACAAAAATAGCTGGATTTTCAGTTTAAGTAAGGGAATAGGATCTACAGAAGAAAGAGGGGAAGAACAGCTATGGGCCAGCATTCTAATTTTCCAGAGTGAAAAGAAAATCTGTGACTTTTGATAGGTTTAAACTGGATCAACCTAGGTTTACTTATTTATTCAAATACCCCAGAAACTTACAAGTTATTATCTTTTATAAAGGAGCTCTGGTGGTACAGTGGTTAGTGTATTTGCCAACAAAAAGGTCAGTAGTTCAAACCTGCTAGCTGCTCTGTGAGAGAAGGATGAGGCAGTCAGCTTCCATAAAGATTCACAGCCTTGGAAACTCTATGAGGCAGCTTCTACTCTGTCTAATAGGACAGAATATATACTTCCTATTGGTCACTATGTGTCAGAATTCACTCGATGGCAGTGGATTTGGTTTCATAAGTAAAACAGATTTTAACTGTTTAATATCTGATTTTCATAAAAACACTATAGGTAAGTATTACTCCTACTAGTCAGATGAGGAAACAGAGACTTGCGAAGATTAGTAACTAGTTAATGATGCCAATGCAGGCACAAGTACTCAGCCGGTGTGCCATTCCCTTTTTAAGCAACTTGTTGAAAATAACATTCAGCTGTTTCCAATGTGATTTCTTTCCCCCATGGATTTTGTAGACACGTGTTCCCCTTGTTGTTGTTGTTGTTGTTATATGCCATCGAGTCGGCCCCGACTCATAGCAACCCCTCCTTGGGTTTCCGAGGCAGTATCACTACGGAAGTAGGACTGCCCAACCTTCCTTCCGAGGAGTGGCTGGTGGGTTTGAACTGCCAGCGTGTTCCCCTTAGCTGTATTCCACAAAGGAGGGAACAGAACTGACACAGTGGGGGTCCTACCAAACTTGTCTTTTGCATATTTCTCCAAGGCAAACATTTATTACAGAAAATAAATACCATGGACCACTACCTTACATTAGTTTAATCTTCTCAGTTCTGATTACTCATGCCACCCATGACAAATCATCATCTATAATTTTCTTGAAAAATCAATTAGAATTGTGAATCTACAGCTCAATAGAACTCCAATATTAAGGTTACATGATGTAGAAGAAAACTACTTGCTAGTGCTAGAGCTGGAAAAATAGTGAAAATGAAGAAATGTAAGAAAGCTTTAGTTGTTAGCAAGAAACCTCAAGTTCTGAATGCATTAAAACATGCTTTAGATATGTGACATGAAAACGTTAAGGACCATGAAATACTCAGAAGGTAGGGAAAACTGAAAGGAGAAAAAAAGTGATTTATGGAAGTATTTAATTTTCAGAATGTAATTTTTAACTATTTAATTTTTAGAACTGAGCAATCTAATGATGGGAGATGAAAATTAACTACTTTTCAACTTTCACAAATCCATAGTTTGAAGATAAAATTTTATGTATCTAACAACAGAAATATGATTCAAGAGAATGACAAAATTAGGTTCAATGTTTTCTCAAAAGTAACATGTGATAGAAGCACTTACACAGTAAAGGAACCAAGCTCTTTAGTAGCAAATGAAGTTTGGTTCCAGAGTTAAGAAGTGATTTTCATAGTACAACATACAAGAGTAGATAGCATTAACTGATCACGTTGGCACACATGTTCCCACCAAAATGAATGAAGCTACTTGAAAAATTAAATACGCAGAAGCAAATGACACTAACATATTACTAGAAAGTGTGTTTGTAAGTGTACATATCCAAGAAGAAGAGAGTATCAGAATTTGATCTGTGATTTTTATACAAGGTTTAATCTACTACTTGGGCAGCCCAGTGCCCTAAAGGTCCAGTGTAAGAAATCAGAGCTTTACACATTGGTGGGTCAGTAACAACGTTCAGGTCACAGCACCCCTTTGTTTTCATGAAGTTCTTATCACAAAGGTTAACAACCTACTGTGTCCATTTACATTAATGCAGCAAGCCCGGGGGGGGGGGGGGGGGGACGACACTCACTGCCATCAAGTTGGATCCGACTCATAACTACCCCTCCTTGGGTTTCCAAGGCAGCAATCCCAGGTGAAGGGAAAACTTTTTCTTTTACTTCAGGGGTAGTAGTTACTCGTTTAAAAACTCTTTTAAAATGTTCATCCTTTGGTCTATTTTGATGTGGGTTTGAAGAAAAGGTAAAGAAATTCAATAGGATATATATTGTATACCTTCCACTCAGTTGTATTCTATCAGCAAGTTTGGAAAGCTGATCTGGAAGTCTTCTCTGTTTGATTACTCCCTCAGGAGTTACAGATACCTCACACAGTGAATACTGATCTGGGGTAGCAGTAACAGCAAACTCCCTGATAGCCTGAATGACCACTTCCTTCGCTGTGGTGTCCTTACTGATCATGATATATCGGCTTTGCTGATCAGCCTTAAAAACTCTTAGCACTTGATCCGGCAAGTCTAGGGGAAAGAAAGCCATACATAAGTAGAAAAGACTTTAATACATGGTAAGGCAATTAAGCAACAGCATAACCTGAAGAAAACCTTAGAAAAGGTGATGCTAAATTTTCACCTCTCTCTTATTCTAGTTCTTCCTCAAAGATTCAATCAATATGTGATATGCTGCAAGAACACATCTTCTCCTCTGGATAACAGAAAGATCTACAAAATGCAAACACATCTATACAGAACAGCAGCACAGAAGATTGTCATGTAAATAGAAAAAGAAAAAACATATAAATCTAAAGTTAAACTTTATTATATTAAAAAGCCCACTGAGTTGACCTATGTCTCCTACTCTTACTTGATATGATTTAACAATACCTGCGTGGTATGTGTCATCTTCATTTTATGGAAAAAAAAAAAAAAAAGCCCAGAGAGATTAATTGGCCGTATCAAAATATTCTATGTAATAGAAAAGGACAGGTTTCAATTGTTTGAAATGTAAGGTCTACCGTGACTGAACACCTGATACAATCTTTGCCAAACCAAGAGGGACACACACAGCATTACCATTACTCTAGAAGGAAAAAGGTTACTGCAAGAAAACAACAAAAAATAGAAGCATTGGGGTGCTCACCAGGAGTAGTACTAAAATCTAAAATGCGATGATGTGACTGCAATAAATCAGGATTACTGGATGATAGGGTTCCACTGACAGGCAATGCAGTGGGGATGTGCTTCGTCTGCCTTAATCCTACTATGCTGTCGTCTTGAGACTGACCAATGCCAATATCACTGAACAAAGGGGAAAATTAGAAAAGAAATCATCAGCGACTTTATAGTTAAAGGCGATCAAAATATGATATACAAAGACCATAAATAAACCATATTTCATAAAACTTGTAGTTAATGAATAAATACAGTTAATAAATTTGGCTAAAAACTGTAAAAGCAATGAATTACAGAATTAGTTTTATTTTGAAACTATATTTAACTGTATTTAACTCAATTAATTTTGCTACTTCTTAAGTGTATATAGTATAATGTCTCCCTAAAACCTACGTCTTTTTAACCAGGAAAATCCTAACAATATTAGTAGTTTCTAAGTATAAAAATGTATTTAAGGAAAGATAAGGTCCAGTTACAATGGAGATGAATTTTAAAAGAAGCACATTAATCACATGCCTGGATCTCAAAACCTACTGTATAACCACAGTAGTAAAACAGCCGGCGACTGGTACAACGACAGACACATAAACCAAAGGAATAGAATTGAGAACCTAGAAATAGATCCATCAACCTATGCTCAGCTGATCTTTGACAAAGGGCCAAAATCCATTCAATGGGGAAGAGATGGTCTCTTTAACAAATGGTGCTGGGAAAACTGATTATGTTTTGCAGAAAAATGAAACAAGATCCATACCTCATGCCATACACAAAAACTAACTCCAGATGGATCAAAGACTTAAATGTAAAACTTAAAACTATAAAGTTCCTCAAGGAAAAAAGAGGGGAAAACTTAGGGGACCTCATTTATGGCATAAATAGACTGTCAAGCACAACCCAAAATGCACAAACAGCAGTAGATAAACTAGATGAATGGGATCTTCTAAAAATTAAATTTTTATGTGTTTCCAAAGACTCCTCCAAGAGAGTAAAAAAAGAACTTACAGATTAGGAAAAAATAATCAGCAATGACATATCTGACAAGGACTTATCTCTAAAATTTAAAGAAAACATCAACACCTCAACAATAAAAAGACAAAAAATCCAATTCAAAAATGGGCAGAAAACATGAACAGACACTTCATCAAAGAGGATATTCAGGAAGCCAATACATGAAGAAATGTTCACAATCATTAGCCATTAAATACCATTAGCTATTAGAGAGATGCATATCAAAACAACAATGAGATACCATCTTACCCCAGCACTAATAGCAAAGTTCAACAAGGCAGAAAGTAACAAATGCTGGCGAGGATATGGAGAGATTGGGACTCTCATACACTGCTGGTGGGACTATAAAATGATACAACCACTGTGGAAAGCAATATGGCAATGCCTTAAAAAGTTGGAATTAGAAATACATTTGATCCAGCAATCCCATTAGAAGGGAGAGCCAGGACAAGAACAGATATATGCACATCCATATTCATCGCAGCACTATTTACAATAGCAAAAAGATGGAAACAACTTGGGTGCCCATCAACAGAAGAATGGACAAGCAAACTATGGTACATACACAGAATGGAATACTATGCAACCCTAAAGAATAATAAAGAATCTCCAAAATACTGCATAACAAGGATGACCTTGGAGGACATTATGCTGAGTGAAGTTAAGTCAATCACAGAAAAACAAATATTGTATTAGTTCATTATTGTAAAAGATCAAGGAAAAATTTATATACGGAAGGAAACTTTCTTTGTTGGTTACCAAAGGTGGCACAAGAGGGGAGGGAACATTGCAAAAAAAAACGAACCAAGCAAACAAATAAATAAATAAATATGAAAACAAGGACATAAAAACTGTATTTCATATTACTCAACCAATGGCTTTTGTATCAGAATGATAAACTGTTAAATAATCTGACATCAAAAAACTGAAGAAACAGAGTAAAATGAATAGAGGAAAAAAAAAAAAAAACAAACTGTCCTAATTTTATTCTCCAGTGTTTGAGAGAGAAAGAGGAAAGAAAAAAAAGAGAATACTTGAAGTCAAATGTAAGGAATCCCTAACACAGATATTATTTCGTAATTATACACAGCATAAAAAAGCAGTGGTGCATGATGATAGTTGTTACCATCAAAGAGAAACATTGAAAATTCAATGACTCACTTTTACTTTTTTCCCTCTACTCATTTAATTTTCCAAAAAAATAGTACTTATTATTGATAGTATATACTCATTTCCATTTATAAATATAAAAAGTTTATTATTGCAGATAACAATATTTATGTATTATTAAAGATGATTTAATAATACGTAAAGTAAGCAGATCATAATCAAATAGCTGCAGTTTTAACTGGTTTCTATTAAGATCTTGAAATGAAAAGAACAAAAAATTATACTGAGGTTGGGAAGTAAAATAAGGCATATCATAATAAATAACAGTGAGACATATAGTATTTATTAAGGTTTAAGACATTAAGATTTGAAAATAGCATCTAATATTTCTAATAGCTGTGCTAAAAGCAAATCTAGCAGCATTATTTCTTTTTTTGGGGGAAATGGAAATTATACACATAAATAAGCAAGGCCAAGAGATTTGTTTTAAAATCAAGATAAAAATTAAATTAAAATTAAATAAGTTTTTCTATATAAGTGCATATAGGAATAAAAAACTTAAAATACTGATATTCTCCAAAAATATCAGAATGATCATATTATCAGTGGAATTTTATTTTTCAACCATATAAACCAGTCTTGACTGTCAAAAATAATACATGTAATACATTATGAGAAAACTACTACTATGGGTTCAAGCCAAGACATAGTTGACTGGCCCACACTTGGCACAAATGGTTATAATTATTACTATAATCCAGGCACTCCCAAAAAGAGCTTCCTTCTTAAGAAATGTTGCTTGGCAACATTTTAACACTTACACGATGATATGAATCTCTACTCTCATAGTTTCTTGATTTCTCAACTATATTTGTTATCCACAAAAATGAGGATATTTTGGATTAAAAATACATTACATTAAAGACAATTTAAAAATGCCTCTCTCTGAGCACATCCTCTCCAACTCTCTCGCTGCTTTGAAATTGTTTTTTCGGTCTTTACTGCATTTGATAGTCTGCTGACTTATTCCCTCTTTTCTCAAGGTTCAGCCTTTCTGTCTCCACTTACTTGACACCCAGATATGAATTCCATAATACTCTTAGCTCACCTTCTCCTCACCTCTTTATCACATCGCTACTATGCCTTCGCTGTTAATCTATCATCATCCAGCATCTTAGTTTCTATAATAATGATTTTTGAGAATAAAAATTCATAAACTCTTCTTTATATCCCTATAAATTCATGCATAGATTCCTCAGTTAGTCCTTACTTAGTTGGTTACTTTTTTTCATTTCAATCATATTAAACATTTAAATATGAATTTAACTAATTTTCATAAAAATATATAGTTGTATTTTCCATTTTTATTATAATCAAAACATCCACCAACACCACATCTTCCACATTTACAACTCAATGACATTGATTACATTTTTCATGTTGTGCCACCATCAATCAATCAAAACATTCTACCACCATTAATGTACACTCAATACCTTCCCTAAAAAAAACAAAGCAAAAAAGACCCCTCTCCTTTTACCTCTCTTACCACCTCTAGTAACCATTAATAATCTTTGGTTTCTATCTTTGGACTATAGGTAGTCCACCAGGTTATGAATTAGCTCAGTTACTAAGTGTGTCTTTAAGCCAAATTTGTTAAGTTAGAACAGACACAGATGATTCTTATTTAGCCTTACGTTAGTGCAGAAGCGGGAGAAATATGTGACAGTCTACTTTTGTAAAGATTTACAGACTTAGTAATACTAAGGGGCAATTCTACTGTGTACTATAGAGTTGCTATGAGTTGGAATCAACTCCATGGCAGTGGGTTTTTTTGGTTAGTGCAAGAAAAGGCTCAAAACCTCTTAATGATTTACAACCAGCACGTGCAGCATGTGTAGGTGATCGTGATAAAGAATTTGTTGCAAATGAGAGTTGGTTCAATCATTTCAAAGTAAGGGTAAATTTCTGTAACATCAAAGGGCAGGTATGAATTGTCTGTAGGTTGGACATTCATAACTCAGGGACTTAATGTATATGCTTATTTCACATGAATGAGATCATACAGTATTTGTTCTTCTATAACTAATTTGGGAGCTCTGGTAACATAGTGCCTAAGGCACTTGACTGCTAACCAGAAGGTTGGCGGTTCAAACCCACCAGCCACTCCTCGAAAGGAAGGTTGGGCAATCTACTTCCGTAGTGATACTGCCTCGGCAACCCAAGGAGGGGTCACTATGAGTCGGGGCCAACTCGACGGCACACAACAGCAACAACATAACTAACTTATTTCAGCATAATGTTTTCAAGGTTCATTCATATTGGAGCATCCATCAGAACTTCATTTTGCTTCACAACTGCAAAATATCCCATTATATGTATATACCACACTTTGTTTATCCATTCATCTGTTGATGGACATTTTGGTTGATCCACATTTTGGCTATTGAGAAAAGTGCTGCAATGAACACTAGTGCAAAGGTTTTAGTTTGTGTTTCTTCCTTTACTTCTTTGGCATATATAACTAGGATAGGGATAGTTGGGCCATATGGTAATTCTAAGTTAAACTTTTTGAGGAACTACCAAACTGTGTTCCACAGTGGCTGTACCATTTTAAATTCCCACCAACAGTGGATGAGAGTTTCAGTTTCTCCATAACCTTGCCAACATTTATTTGTTGGTTTGGTAATCATTGTCATTCCAGTGAGGGTGACATGACATCTGGTGGTTTTGATTTGCATTTCTCTAATGGCTAATGATGTTGTGTGTCTTTTCATGTGCATACTGGTCATTTGAGTATCCTCTTCAGTAAACTGTCCAAGTCCTATGACCATTTTTTGATTAAGCTGTCTTTTTGTTAAGTTGCAGAAGTTTTATACAGATTTTGGATATTTCCCCTTTATTTGGTATACAGTTCCTGAAATTTTTCTCTCAATCTATATATAGGTGGTTTTTTCACTTTGTTGATAAAGTCATTTGATGTACAAAAGTATTTGATTTTTTATGAGGTCCCATCTATGTATTTTGTCTTCTGCTACCTGGGCCATATTTTCTTAAATGTAAATCATTTAAGATGGTTCTTAGTGCTTTAAAATCAACACATCATCTAATTATCTTTCTAAAAACACAGAGGACAAAATTATACATAGTATTTTCTTCTAAATTTTTTTTTTCTTTTATAGAATAGTTACCTCTTCCCTGTGTTGTTCCCTCCATGTACTTCTGCCTCCTGAGCTATGTCCCTGGGCATAAAACCCATGATTGTTTTATATTCTATTCTCCCAGGATTGTTCTATACATAGTATTTTCATACAGTCTTCCTTGTCAACATCCCGTGCATATCACATTTCTACCAATACTTGCCAGGTCATGCCGCCATTTTTTTTTTCTTCAAGTTTCATATTTAACATATGGGCAAATATGACTCTGAGTAAGATCTTTTTTTGTTATTGTGGTGCTGTAATTTGGCATTTAGGTGATTTATTTTCTCATCCATTTAAAAATATGTTTTTCATCAAGAAGGGTTACTTTAAAAATCAATTTCTGTTTCCTGTAATGCCAACAGGCCTAACATTACAGAACATTTAGGTCTCTTATGAACTTAATATAAACACACTCGAGTCTATAAATAAAACCAATCACACTCATTGTTTATTCTTAAGACTGCTACAGAAGTATTTTTAGCTGATATGAAACCACCAATCATTACTCTATAGTTATAATGACTGAGTGTGTGTGTATACACACATGTGTGTATGTATGCATATACATGTATGTACATATCTATAGTTGTATAGATTGGACAACACAAGTTGGATACTCAACCCATAAACAATATTTTCTATACTTTACCTCTCTAATTTGTGTATGAAAATTTCATATGAAATGAAATTTTTTTAAAAAAGAGAAGAAATCCTTGATGAAGCCCTGAATGTGTGTATCTGTGGCTTTTGTATAAGACTCATCAAATTAGCAAAGAAAGAAGTTAAATTGTTTTCAAGTTATCTCCTATTCTGTTGTAGTCTGAGGAATAAATAATTGAATTTGGCATACCCATGTTACTTAATATTAAAATAACCTCACTGATGGCAAGTGAGCAAACAAGCAAAGATGAAAAAAGTATAAGGGACATCTGCAACTTTGTCTAAGCCCCTGGCACAAACTGTCAAGAAGGACTCAAGAATACAGCTGACAGCCTGTCTGAAAAGTCCACTGTGAGGAAGGAAAGGAATTCTGTGACCAGTTGGTGATGTCTTGGCAAAAGTTAAACAACTGAAAATAGAAGTGAGAGGAAAGGAGGGGAGAAGAGAATAGCAGGGATGAAAAGGGGCAAGTGGAAGCAGGAATGACTCGGTTGGCAAACAACAGATGTTGATCGTAAAGAAGATACACAGAAACAAAGATATAGTCACAAAAATAATGCTGAAGACAGAGGTTACTCTAAAAAAGTCCAAATGGGAAAAAATTCATTCATATAAGAAGGTGCTAAACTATCCTTATTGAGGATTGCGGATAAACAAATAAGTGGTAAAAATGAGATTAACACAAACATGGTTGTTTAATATTGATTCTAAGACAGCTCAGCCCTATTTTAGAAAAAAATTATAATAAAACATTTATTAGACCCATAGTGAAAACTTTATTTACTACTTTTGCATATCATGCAAAAGAGTTTTAATGAATTATAAAATAACACAGAGAAAACTGATACAGACACTTACTTATATGGTTTCTGTGGCAAGATACTGATCCGAGTCTTGTCAAGTATCTTCTTTAGCTTGTTTCTTCCTCCAACAGTATTTGCTTTACTTTTTTTATTTACTTTTTCAAGTCCTATCACCTGTTCTACATCTACAGCAAGATCTGGAATGGAGTAGCGACTAGCCTTTTTGATGTCTCCAATTTTAGGGAGGTGAGGGGCACCATTTCTTTTGTCTTCTGATAATCTTGTTAGAAGTTCTTTAAATACTAAAATGAATGGAAACAAACACCATAAAATGCCAATTGTAAGAAATGCGAACAGCTCAAAGGCAATTATAAAACTTGAAAATATCTGAGAATACAGACTTCAGCATTCAGAACTGCAATTTTGTAGAAAATGACTACTCGAATGAATTAATGGCACCAAGAATCTGCCTTATAAATTGCTCTATAACTTTTACTCAGAATAACTAACTAAATAAACAATCTTAAGTTAAGGACTACCTGAAAATTTTACTCTAACTCTTATGTTTGAAAAATTACTCATAAAATGACTTCTTTTATGAAAAGACCTAAATGCTGAAATAGATAGATAGATAGATAATAGATAAATAAATAAATAAATAACAGTATACAAAAATACTTACCAAATAAGTTGGTTTTCACAGTGATAGATAAATGTGTGTTATTTCTAAGAATTTCCATGGCTTTTGAGAGCTGAATGTTTTCAAAGTTTTGACCATTTACTTCTAGAATCTAAAAATAAAATTATAAAATTAATTCCTGTATTGCATTGAACTGAAGAAAAAAGAAACATCAATATTTACCCTTAAATCAGAATTTAGCAATATCATACCTGATCCCCACGTTTCAAGCCTGCTTCAGTTGCTTTGCTACCTGAATCTACACTGTCAACAAAGATTCCAAATCCCTTTTCTGAGCCTCCAAGTAAGATGAAAGGCAAAGGAGCTTCTCTGGATGGTTTTGTTAATGTCATCAATCTTCTTTTTGCTTTAGCTGCACATGCAATATTTAAAAGCCTCAGATGTCCACCCATTTTCTACAAAAGTTCAGAAGTAGTGTCAACACAAGGATAGACTGATTAATATTAACTTAAAGCTGATCAGTTTTTTTTTTTTAAATCACAAATATTACCTCTCTTTCCAGATTATTTTCAAATTCTTCTAGAAATCGAGTCATCGCAGGATCTCCTTCAAAGTCATTGAAGTGATTATTCACCCACAATAATACTACCCGTGTAACCTGAAAATTGATTATTTTCAGTAAGTTTTTGAGCAAAAGTACAATAAAACTAAAATAGATTACTACAAGATAAAAGAAGACAGAAAACTGAAATACAAAAGCAGAGGAACAGAATGGGGAAAGGAATGAACTATATTAAACTTAGAGAGATATCCAAGATAACAGATTGTAAAAAGGAGGAGGTAGCTGGGAGTACATCAATGTTACTTGCTAATATAAAGAGTTCAGAGGCTTTTTAACACCTACAGTCCAGGAGAAACGAGTAGCCTTTTCCTACCCTGCATATGTATTCTCACACACAGCCTTATATGACATCAACTTTGTCTATTAAGGTCTAAACTTTGTCTACCATGAATACTAAATGCAACTGTAACAATGCCTGGTACACAATAAATACTCAATAAATTTTACTGAATGAAATGAATATTATTGCACCTTTAAATACTTTTTTTTTAAATTATTTATTACATCAGAGTTCAATTTTCTAAATTTTTAATGTTGTTGTTGTTGTTATGTGCCGTCGAGTCAAACCTGACTCATAGCGACCCCTCCTTGGGTTTCCGAGGCAGTATCACTACGGAAGTAGGATTGCCCAACCTTCCTTCCGAGGAGTGGCTGGTGGGTTTGAACCGCCAGCCCTCTGGTTAGCAGGCAAGTGTCTTATCCACTACGCTACCAGAGTTCCCAAATTTTTAATAGCAAGATAAAATAAATTTTCTGTAGAATTATTTCAAACATTAACCAATATTCTTCATTAAAGTGAGAAGATTAAGCATGCTATTCTAGTATTACAGAAACAATGTTGTACAGTTAACATTAACAAATTATAGTATATAATCTGACTAATCACTTAAGATTAAATTTCTTTAATCTTCTGTCATTTATTATCACTTTTGCTCATTTTTCAAATTTTAGAAACTGAGAACATCTCCCTTAAAACTATATCTAACATGTGACCTTTTCATAAAATTGTAATTTTTTTAGCTCAGAAGGAAACTTGAAAGCTAACTAGCCATTTTACAGATGAGAAAAACAAGATTTGTAAGTCATACACTAAATACCAACAACCACCACTAATAATAACAAATAACATTTAAGATGTGTTAAGTGTTTACTATTAAGTGAGGCACTAGATAAAAAACTTGTATTATTTAATTTCATCCTCATAAAAGCCTCAAAAGGAGGTTTATTATTTATCTCAGAAGAAATTGAGTCAAGAAACATCAGGTAACATACTAAGTATATAACAGAAGCAATACTGAAACTGAGTTATATGTTTGAGATCTAGGCTTACATCTCCAGAATATTAAATAAAAAGCATTTCTGTCCAGATGCTCTAAGAACAGAAAGGTAGTGAGAGGTAAAACCTCGTATTCTTGATTTTCACAACCTGTCTCTCAAGTCTGTCATGTGCAAGTTAGACTGTCACATGGAAAGAAGAAATAAGTATAGACTATGGTGATCCCTCACAACTCCCAAGACCATGAAGACTATGTAGTTTATCATTTAATCCAGACTCTCAAAGGCTGTTAAGTAGGGTCTACTTAGGATTACATTACTGGGGCATACCAGCCAGTGATGGTTGTAATGAAATGTAGTTTTGGTACCAATTTACGAATTATTAACTTTTATCTGGTAACCTACCAAACCAGAAAATGCAGATTCCAGGGGAGTTATGTTTTAACACATTCCTAATAGAACTAAGATTTTAATTTGGTGGCCAATTCATTGGCTCTTGCATTAAAGTACACCATTTTTAGACCTTATCTTAGAAATGTCTAACAAGAACATTTTTTTTTTACTTAAAAATTACAGTCCTAAACATTACATTAGTCTATTAAATTAATTTGAATATAACTGGTATGATAAATATTTATTAGAGTATCTTTAAGTTTCTATCTTAATATCTCATATTTAAGTTCTAAAATAGAATATATTTTCCAACCTTATCCCTGAGGCTCGGGTCATTAAACCACTCCAATAACTTTTTGCCCACTTCCATTGGGCTAGAAAGAAAAGTCCTATAGGTCAACAGAAAGTCTTCTATGAATGTTGGATCAACCACTGAATGCTCTTCCACTAAATGCATTGTTAATCTTTCTGAAGTGCCCTGTAACAAATAAAGATTTAATCACTACCATGTATAAATAACATTTATATCTACCTATATTTAAAAAATCCAGCATAAAACCAACTGTGTAGTACATACAGAATAATAATAATAAAACTGCTATTCACCAAGAAATACAGAATTTTTACAACTGATAACTTTGAAGAGATGTTATACTTAAAAATGAAAAGAAAAATCTTGTAAATGAAAAATTTTGATTAGGCCAGTAAGATAAAATTCTAAATTGCTGTAAATGATACTAACAAAAAAATTTCTTCCCATGGGGGATGGCATGTTAGTTGTTTTACCTTGATAACAATGTGCCCTTTCCTCGTCCCAGTTCGATCAAGTTCTCGATGTTCTTTCACCATAACAATCTCTCCTTCCTCTTCGACTTTTTGCATGTTCTTTTCTACTTGGTTGAGAATACGGCAGTAATCTTGCTGGGCTATGCAGACAAACTGGAATAAAACATAAGTCACGTGTTAATGATAAAGTACTTGCACAAGATCCAGCAGTACTAATAATTCAGTGTTTCAATTATTTAACACTGACATTTTTCCACGTCTTTCCCATACTTTCTAAATGAGTACCGTAATGAAGCTTAATCACACTTCTCTACTTTTTAATGTCTATTTCTTCCCTGGAAAAGAATAGTTTTATTTTTAGAACATTTGTAAGTAGTTTATATTTGAAATCCTAACAGTTTTAAAAACAGAAAATAAAATTGGAAGAGTCTTTTTTTTTTTTAAATGCCTCTTCTCTGACAGTTAAAAAAACATTAGTGGAGAGGGAAAACAGAAAATTTCTATGAGGATGGATAATAAAAATGATTACCATTTAGTGAATTTTAAAAATTAGCAAAGATTTTAAAAGTAGCAATTTAAAAGTGATGTAAGGATCACTTTAATGAAAGATATAATAAAATTCAAAGATACCCACAGAGTACTATAAACTTGATAATTACATATAGTTAAGAAACTAGTTTGGGAAGTCTCTTCAAACAAGGTCACAAAACAAGCCATATACTTGTTATTTCAAATCTTTATTCCTGTAACTAGTATTAAGGGTAATCCTTGTTCCTAAAGAAAAAGGCATCAATAATATGCATATAAAGCAATTACTGCTCCATGACCCCAAATATAAAAATTCAGGCCTTATGGCAAACCAGCAGCAAGCAGTTCATATTCAAGAAACAGCATATTGCAATATTAATTTTCTCTAACTGATTAGGCTGATCTAATCTCATTAATTCTTCTATTAAAGAGTATTAGTAAAAAAAAGTTAGAGTTCAAGAACTGGCATGAACCTCCAACTTAGGTACAACGTGTAGTTAAAAACCAACTTTTATAAAGCCTATTATACTGAAGTTTTGACGTACATACAACAGTTCGTAATAACAAATGGGTGCTACGTTGTGACACACATCAAAATATTATTATTATTGCTGTTATTGTTGTTATGTGCGTGGCCTCAGATCAGACTCATAGCGACCCTCCTTGGGTTTCCGAGGCAAAATCTCTGTGGAAGTAGATTGCCCAACCTTCCTTCCGAGGAGTGGGTGGTGGGTTTGAACCTCCAGGCTTCTGGTTAGTAGTCAAGTGCCTTAGGCACTATGCTACCAGAGCTCCCATTCTTAAATCTGTCTTTAAGTCAAATTTGTAGGTAAATTAGAATAGTCATGTGTGGTTTATATCTAACATCAATTAGTCAAATATTTATCTTAATATAAAATATCTAGCGTACATTTCTATGCATAAAAAACAGTACAGAAACACTTCTAGATACTCTAAAACATTTTTAATATAATTATTGTATACTATATCTTAATTTGATTTAAAGACAGATTTCAGAATGGAACTCATTTGTAACCCAGGGACTATCTCTACTGCATCTGTTTTTGTTAGGTGCTGTCAAGTCAGCTCCAACTCATAGTGACCCTATGTACAACAGAACGAAACACTGCCCAGTCCTACACCAGCCTCACAATCTTTGCTATATCTGAGTCCACTGTTGCAGCCACTGTATCAATCCATCTCGTTGAGGGCCTTCCCCTCTTTTGCAGACCCTCCACTTTACCAAGCATGATATCCTTCTCCAGGAATATCATGTCTCCTTTGACAATGTGACCAAAGTAGGTGAGATGAAGTCTGGCCATTCTCGCTCCCAAGGAGCAATCTGGCTGCACTTCTTCCGGGACAGATTTGTAAGTTCTTCTGGCAGTCCATGGGACTTTCAGTATTCTTCGCCAATACCAAAACTCAAAAGCATCAACTCTTCTTCGGTCTTCCTTATTGCCCGGCTTTCACATGGATATGAAGTGATTAAAAACACTATGGTTTGGGTTAGGTGCACCTTAGTCTTCAAAGAGACATCTTTGCTCTTCAGCACTTTAAAGAGGTCTTTTGCAGCATATTTGCCCAGCACGATATGTTGTCTGATTTCTTGACTGCTGCTTCTACTGGTGTTGATTATGGAACCAAGCAATATGAAATGTTTGACATTCAGTCTTCTCTCCATTTATCGTAATGCAGCTTATTGGTTCAGTTGTGAGGATTTTTGTTTTATGTTGAGGTATAATCCAAACTGCAGACTATAGTCTTTAATCTTCATCAGTAAGTGCTTCCAGTCATCTTCACTTTCAGCAAGCAAGGTTGTGTCATCTGCATCCTGCAGGTCGTTAATGACTCTTCCTCCAATCCTAATGCTGCGTTCTTCTTCATACAGTCCAGTTTCTCCGATTATGTGCTCAGCATACAGACTGAATAAGTATGATGAAAGGATACAACCCTGATGCACTCCCTTCCTCGTTTTAAACCATGCAGTATCCCCTTGTTCTGTTTGAACAACAGCTTCTGGTCTGTCTACAGGTTCCTCATGAGCATAATTAAGTATTCTGGAACGCCATTCTTCTCCATGTTAACCATAATTGTTATGATCCAAATAGCTCAATGACTTTGCATAGGCAATAAAACACAAGTAAACATCTTTCTGGTATTCTTTGCTTTCAGCCAAAATCCATCTGACATCAGCAATGATATCCCCATTCCACGACCTCTTCTGAATCCAGCTTGCATTTCTGGAAGTTCCCTGTCAGTATACTGCAGCAACCATTTTTGAATTATCTTCAGCAAAATTTTACTTGCATGTGATATTAATGATATTGTTTGATAATTTCTACATTCTGTTAGATCATCTTTTTTTGGGAATGGGCACAAATATGGATCTCTTCCAGTCAGTTGGCCAGGTAGCTGTCTTCCAAATTTCCTGGCATAGAGTAGTAAGCGCCTCCAGAGCTGCATCCATTTGCTGAAACATCTCAATGGGTATTCTATCAATTCCTGGAGACTGTTTTTGATAGGTATACGTTTTGAAATGTCTGTTCTCTCAAATCTGCTGTCTCAATAATATATTTTTTTTCTTTTTACAGTACAGAAAAATTGTTCCTCAAATATGCATGAATAAATAGATCATTAAAAAAATTTCACATCCTAATAATTTCAGGTGTTATTTCTTATATTCAGTTTTACAGAACATAATTAAAACATCATTTTCTCATTTATCTTCTAAAACAGAATCACACCACTGAATTCAAAAGAATAAGTATATAAAAGAAAATGCTTTCTGAAGAGAAATGTACTAAAATCAATCTTGACTAAGGAAATTAGGATACTTTTATTTGAAATTCTTAGGGTTTAGACATTTTGGCATTTCTCTCTAGCAAACTGAAATAGCACTCCCCCTAAAAAAAAAAATAAATAAAATAATTCCAAACTGACTTTGTAGACTGTTATCTACAAAGAAAAAAATTGTAGCCAAAATTTTATCTGATTTTTTTATTAGCTGATTTGTTTTGCTTAAAAAAAATATTAAATCTAATGTCAAATTACCAAATAAAATATAAATAATTTCAATTGGTATGAAAGGCAGTTGAAAATTTGTGAATTAGGTGCACAATTGTTTTAGTGAGGTTACACTGGAGTCCCTGTTGTTTGTTGTTACGCGCCATCGAGTAATATCTGACTCAGAGTAACCTTATGTGCAACAGAACAAAATACTGTCTGATCCTGTTGCTGCAAATGGTTAATGTTCTTGGCTGCTACTCAAAGGTTGGTGGTTGAGCCCACCTAGAGTTGACTTGGAAGAAAGGCCTGGTGATCTACTTGTGAAAAACTGGCCACTGAAAACTCTATGAAGCACAGTTCTACTCTGACACATATGGGGTTACCAGGAGTTAGAACTGATTCAATGGCAATGAGTATACACGTTGAGATAGGTGTTACACCTGAAAGTACTGTATGATCTTGGCACTCAGACATGAAATAAAAATTCATACATGATTTTATTTATGAAAGGCCAATAGCAATTTATTACACAGAATAATTTTCCTTTGGACAAATGATACCATATCTTATATTTAACTAGAAGAATTATAGATAAAAAATGAAGCATTGTTAGTGTTCTATCAACATATAGTACAGTCAACTTTCAGTTTATCTGTGGCAAAATGACTTTCTCCTCCAAAATTACTTAAAAGTGTCATTAACTTACTTCTAAGATCCCAGGAAAAGGTAAATCTAACATAGATTTATCTTAAAAGGTTAGCTCTATTTAACCTTGTATTTTGTAGTCTGTAAGGGAAATTCATACTTAATCGTTCACATAGGTATCCAAGTGTTCATTCCCCACTGAAAGATGTAAGGCAGGGTTAAGCAATGCCTGGGGAGTCATTGGCAGGCCTAAGACACAGGCAGTGGAGAAGGAAAAAGGAAGAGGAATAAAGGGAGCAGGAGGGTGTAGGTAGAGGAAAAGGAAAAAGGGACAGAAGAAAAAAGAAAGAAAGAAAGAAAGAGGTATATATGGGGAATGGAAAAACCACTAATTGCCTGGTTCCTTAGGATCTTTATACCTGGCTATGACCTTTGTCCTTCAAATAAAAGAGGGGAGTAATAATAGCCACTGCAGAAAGAGCAGCACACAAAGGAGGAATCCACAATAAAACAAAGCTTTCAGCATATCATGGTATCCCAATAAACAGAAATAAATGTTAAATTTAATCCACACTCTATTGTGTCCTTGGACTTGAAGCAGGATTGACTATTTGTCACATTATACAGTATTTTCTTTAGCAATCAATGGAATTTATGAAAATGAGGGTTAAACATAGGCAACATTGCTTCTTCTTGATAAAGATATCACAGTTTTCTTCATTTCATGCAATAACAGCCGATTCCCTAATGTGCTAAGTAGAATATTAGAGATTATGGAGGCCATTTTATAGAAGAACTAAAATATGATTCTCTCTCTCTCCTTTTCCAAACAAGCACTTACATTAAAATGTCTAAAATCATTCTCCATCCTTGTTCTACCATTAAGGAAATTTTATGCCTAGGTTGGTGGAAGTACAGGACTGATTCTTGAAACTTCTGATATAACACGTTCCTTTTACAGTGGTTCACAGAATGCAGTAAAAAGGAAAAAAGACACTTTCTCTAGCAGGTGCCTCACCTTCTGACTCTCCTCTTTCTGAGAACCTCATGTAAGAGCTATAGACGTATGTGTATCTTAATCAGTGCAGTGTAGTAAATTACTTAGTATGGGTTTTCTACCCATAAGCCATTGTAAACTCAGTGGTGGAATGAGCAACTGAGGAGCTGATTGTAAATGTTATCCAAGAGGAGTATTTCTGTTGGGCGTGGCACAATATAATGTTCTGGGAGGTGCCCACTCTCTCTCAGGTGCTTAGAGTTCTGATGCTATGATTGGCTAGTTTGACCACCCTGCCGGGCTCAAAAGGAGGCCTCCTAGAGGCAGAACTCTCTTCTCTCTCTGACTGCTGGTTGAGGAAGACGTGCTGCCGAAAGAGACACGCGCCCCTGAAAGAGACAGGCGTTGCTGGGAAAGAGACGCAAGAGACACGCATTGCTGAGTGAGACACCGAGAGACCAGTGCTGCTGGGAAAGAGACTGTGAGAGACTGTTGGCCGAGGGACGGTGGGCTGGGAGAGAGACTGAGCATTTTTCTTGAACTTGAGTTGTAGCCTGGTGCTTCCCTAATAAACCCCATAATCTGTGAGTTCTGTGTGGCCACTGCAGTGAATTATCGAAGCAAGGAGAGAGGTGGTGGGTGCCTTGGGAGGAACGGTTGGTGAAAGGGCTGCAGGGAGGCAGCATGTCTGGCCTTGCAGTAATAGGCCTTGGGTTACTGCTGGTAATCCTGCCTTCCCCTTGTAGGGTTAGAGGAGGTCAGAACATGTGGCCTCCTTGTCGTTTCCTTTTACAGTGGTTCACAGAACGCAGTAAAAACACTTTCTCTAGCAGGTGCCTCACCTTCTGACTCTCCTCTTTCTGAGAACCTCATATAAGAGCTATAGAAGTATGTGTATCTTAATCAGTTTTCTTTTGAACTGGAGTCTACTTTGCTAACTCTGTCACTCTGGGTTTCCCCCTACCTTCCTTATCCTATAAATAAATTAGACTCTATTCTCTGACAATCACCCCATCTCTTCTTCCTTTCCCATGGTTCCCAGATAAATATTTTACATACCCATACATCTAACATTACTTAAGCACTCTGTAATATTCAGTCATATCACAACATTTTTACTAGTTTTTATGAAACATTCGTAGCCTCGTTTTAATTCCATGGCTATGCAATTTCTAATCAGAGTTTTGACAAATTAAGATATTTAATAGCTGAATTCTTAGTGATGAAGTAAGTTTTATATGACCTTTAAAGACAGAGAATCCTATTTGAATGCTTTATAATCCCAACATATAGAAGGGTTCAGGGAAGAAGTGAATGATAGTAGGGTGGAGAAACCTTTAATTCTCAAGTTCATTTAAACTCAAATTTAGCTTTATTATTATTTTTAAAGAGTACAATTCTAGAACTGAAATATCATATTCAACCCCTTAAAATTGAACAGTCTCAGGCCAAATGACGACTTTGAGATTTTTCTACCATTTTCTTTTCCTCAATTAAAACAAATAATTGAAAACTGACTGTATCTAGAATGCTTTTCTGACATTACATATTTAGTACACTGAATTCACAACCATTTCCTTCCCTCAATAGTGAAGGAACTATCTGGTGAAACAGTTTTGATACTTTAGTGTGTTTTATTTACAGTAATGGTTATTTTTTCCTTTTAGTAAGTAAATAAATAAACTAAAATGAAATTTAAAATAATGGACTCCATTTTACATTAATTAGAAACTATATAAATTCCAAGTATGTTCTTTTAGAATACAGTATCTTTTAAACTTTAAGAGATTATTTGTTGTTAATCTTCTGGGCATGGATAGTAAATGTGAAAGTTCTACTTTAAAATCTTATTTATAAATATACAATATGACCAATTTATAGAAGCGGAAAAATCTCACCACAACCTTATCATGTAAGTGTTCTGCAATAAGAACAAAACATGTATCTTTAATGATATTTTATACCTGGCAGTCATCCACCTTTGTTCTCATTACTCCTTTCATGTATTCTTTGTCCATGGTAGGAGAGACACCAAAGCTGTTTCCCATACACAGAATCTCTGCTTTTCCATCTGGATAAGTAACTTCTACAGAACCATTCAAAATCACTGACCAGGAGTCCAGCTAATAAAAAAAAAATAGATAAAGCAGAAAATGACATGTATTATAAATATGTATAAAATAAATAAGCATTTATAATATTTCTTATATTGGAACAATCTGGAAGTGCTGAATATTGCTGTTGTTGTTGTTAGGTGCTGTCAAGTCGGACCTGACTCATAGCGACCCCTCTTTGGGTTTCTGAGGCAGTATCACTATGGAAGCAGATTGCCCAACTTTTCTTCTGAGGAGTGACTGTGGGTTTGAACTGCCAGCCTTCTGGTTAGTAGTCAAGTGCCTTAGATACTATGCTACCAGAGCTCCCAGAAGCTGAATGGTCCGTAAAAAAATTATTTACAGATCTTTCATTTTAAAGATGGAACAAACAACTCAAACATATATGTTATAAATAGAGTATCATTTTGTTTTTATCTTTCTTTTAAATTTTATTTGTTATTCTTAGGACTATATGCTGGAAAACATACCAATTCAGTAGTTTCTTCACCTATAATTTAGTGACTAAATTGATTATAGTCTTCAATTTGTACAACCATTTTCACCATATTTTTTCTGAGTTGTTCCTCCTCATTATTATATACTCACTGATCCCTTAAGTTTCCTATATGATCTTTCAAGTTGCTATTGTCAATATGATCCCATATAAATGTTCTTAAAAGAGTATAATGATTTAAGGCCAAATTTTTTCACTAGTTAAACTAAACTGCTTTTCAATTTTAAGACTACATCAGCAGGTATTTTTGGTTTAAAGTTTAAAGATTATCTTTAATAGGGCAATAGTTTTAGGGGTTCATGCATATTTCATGGCTCCAGAAAGTCTATGGTTCATGAGAATTTGAAACTCTGTTCTGCATTTTCCCCATCTGATCAGGATTTGTCTATGGAATCTTTGATCTAAATATTCAGTAATGGTATATTGTTGTTGTTGTTATGTGCCACTGAGTCGGACTCGACTCATAACGACCCCTCCTTGGGTTTCCGAGGCAGTATCACTACGGAAGTAGATTGCCCAACCTTCCTTCCGAGGAGTGGCTGGTGGGTTTGAACCTCCAGCTTTCTGGTTAGCAGTCAAGTGCCTTAAGCACTATGCTACCAGAGCTCTCACAGTAATGGTATAGCCAGGCATTATCCAGCACTCCTGGTCTCATGCCAATTAGTCACATATTATATACCCTCCTTCTATTCCTGACTCTCCTTCTTCCCTTGCTGTACCAGGGGGAATAGAGACCAATTATACCTTGGATGGCAGCTTATAAGCTTTTAAGACCCCAGGCACTATATAATGAAGTAGGAGGTAGGACAGAAGCACTAAACATGTTATTTGGCCAATTAACTGGATATCCCACAAAACTTGACCCTAAACCTTCAAACCATGGAACTAAATCCCATGAGGTGTTTGGTTATACATAAGCAGCCTCACCAACTATTCTTTTTGTTGTTGTTTTTGTACATATATATATCATACAACTTTTGACAATTATTCTTTTTACAGATGTGTAATTTATAGATAGCAGTTAGAATAACTGCCTGGGTAACTCTACCCTTAATCAATGAGATTTTTCCATAAGTTAATTCCCTTCCCCCTCCCCCCTCTAGTAACTACAAATAAACTTTGTTCTCTATATATTAGTCATTTCTTGTCTTTTTATGTAAGTGAGGTCACACAATATGTGTCTTTTTGTGATTGGTTTATTTCACTCAATACAATGTCTCCAAGCTCCATCCATAATATAGACTTCATTTCTCCTACTGGCTGCATACTGTTCTATTATATGTATATATCATATTTTGTCTATCCATTCATCTTTTGATGGGTATTGAGGTTCTTTCAACCTTTTGGCTATTGTGAATAGTACTGTAATGAACATTGGTGTACAGGTCTCTTTTTGAGTCTCTGCTTTCAACTCTTTTGGGTATATATGTAGCAGTGGAATTGCTGGGTCATATATATGGCAGTTCTATTTAGTTTTTTGAGGAACAATCATGTTTTCTACAGTGTCTGTAGTATTTGCATTCCAATCAACAATGGATAAGTGTTCCAATTTTCTCACATCCTAACTAAAATTTGTTGTTTATTTATTTATTTTTATCTTAGCCATCCCAGTGGGAATAAATGTTATCTCACTGTGGTTTACATTTGCATCCTCTGATGGCTAATAATGTGGAACATCTTTTAATGTCTTTGGGGGCCAACTGAACGTCCTCCTTGGTAAAATGTCTATTCAAGTCCTTTGCTCATTTTATGATTAGGTTATTTATTGTTTTTGTTTTTGTCAAAGTTTTATGTTATTTTGGTAATTATATTCTTGTCAGAAATACAGTTTCCAATGATAGTTTATCAGGTGGTAGCTTGTGTTTTCATTATTTTTAGAAAGTATTTTGATGAATGAATTTTTAACTTTTATGAGGTCTTTGTCAATTATTTTCTCTCTGCTGTTTGTTATTACATTACATAAACCACTATTGAAAGCTAGCCTGACAGCTTTGCCTCTGCTTATTCTTCTAAGAATTTTAGGGTTAGACTGCACATTTAGGTCCTCAATAAATTTTGAATTTGTTTTTGTGTCTGGTGTGAGGCATTGATCTTGTTTGATTTTTCTGCATGTGGAAATTCAATTTTCCCAGCACCATTTACTAAAGATACTCTTCTTTCCTCATCAAATGGATTTATTAGCACCCTTGTCAAAAATCAATTGACCACAGATGTGTGAGTTTATTTCTATTTCTAGACTCTCAATACTATTCCATTGCTCTATGAATCTACTGTTACACCAGTACTAGACAGTGTTCATTACTGCAGCTGTATTTTTTGTCTTAAAATCAGGGAAGTGTGAGGCCTCCTACTTTGTATATCATTTCATTTTGATAAAAGGCATCACATTTCTAAGATACAAAACCTCACAATGTCCCATTAAAAAAAAAAAAAATCTTACTGCCATTGAGTTGATTCCAACTCACAATGACCCCCACTGAGTTTCTGAGGCAGTAAACCTTTACTGAAGTAGTTGCCCAGTCTTCCTTTCATGGAGTCACTGGTGGGTTTGAACCACCAACCTTCTGGTTAACAGTCAAATGTCTTAGGCTACGCCACCAAAGTTCCTTATAATATCTTATGGGTATATATGTGCATGCACATATATTCACATATATGTCTATGAGATATCAACTTGTGAGATTTTGATCTTACATGTTTTTAAATATAATGACTATTATCAAAACGAACCACATAGGAGACACAGTTACAAGTAGTTCTTAGACATAACTTAATACCTTGTTTCCTGGGTTTGAAGGTTTAGGACTGTAGTGTCATGGAACAATTCAGTTTATTGCCATAATTTAGTTAATAGAGTTCTACAACCCAATGTGCTGAGCAGTGTCTAGGGTCTTACAAACTTGTGAGTGACCATCTAAGATACAACTATTGGTCTCTTTTCATCCAGAACAAAAGAGAAAAAAGGAAACCAAAGACTCAGAGAAGAAAGTAGTCTACAGGACTAACAGTCTACACAAACTATGGCTTCATCTACCCTGAGACTAGAAGAACTAGATAGTGCCCAGTTACCACTACTGAGTATTCTTATCTGGGACAAAATAAACAGATCCTGAAAGAATAAGAGAAAAATGTGGAATGCAACTCAAATTCTTAAAAAGTCCATGCCTACCTGACCAGCTGACACTAGCAGATTCCCCAAGACTATGGCCTTGAGACACTCTTTAAACTTGAAACTGACATTATCCCTTGAAGTCACTTGTTAACTAAATAATAGACTAGCTCATAAAATATAGACTATCACCATGAGTACTGAGTTCCTTTAAAATACAATTTAAATTGTATGTTCAAAAATTACTCTAAAGCAAAAACAAGAAGGTAAGGGGTCAGGGAAATTAAAGTACTGGAAATGATATGAGAATGGAATGAATGAGAACAGTGCCACATTGTGAAAAACAACCAATTATCACTGAATCATTTGTGTTGAAATGGTTAAATGGGAACCTAATCTTTTGTATAAACTTTCACCTTAAATACAATATTTTTCGAAGTTACTACATCAAAAAATATCTATCAATATCATTTCAAACACTGTAAATAATGGAAAACTTACAGTTTTGGAATACTTTGCCATAACAAGTATATCATAATTCTTGATTTATTCAAAACTTAATGTTGCTGTTTTTTAAAGGAAGAAAGAAGAATTGGGTTTTTCTTCATTTGCTAATTGACAGATTCTCAAACAGAAACTTTTTGAGTGGTAGGAATATTTACTAACCTCTTCACCATCATTTAACACAATGGTCCCTGCTCTTTCCACTACCGCAAATACCATCACGGCACAAAGTTCTCGTCTCACCGACATTGTCATATTGGCAAAAGCAGGCAACTGGTGCATAAATTCCAAGAGTTGTTCTGAAAAGCAAGAGATACTAATTGTCAAAACTGTAACTTTTACTTAAAAAATGTGTTAAAAAAATTCTTTAAGGCATTTTCTTTTTAAATGTCCTATAATTAATTAATTCTATCTGTTGAAAAATACAATATTTTAAGTATCTTCAATACTGGTGGAGTTTCTTGCAGATACAAAGAATTCTTTCACTGTAGAAGTGGTGAGACTGCCTGTTGAGTCAGACAAAATAGTCGTTGTTGTTGTTGTTACGTGCTGTCAAGTTGGACCCGGACTCATAGCCACCCCTCCCCTTCAGTTTCCAAGGCAGTATCACTATGGAAGTAGATTGCCCAACCTTTCTTCCGAGGACTGACTGGTGGGTTTGAACCACCAGCCTTCTGATTAGTAGTCAAGTGCCTTAGGCACTATGCTACATTTTAATTCTAATTCTAATGACACTGAAGGAATTACTAAGTTTTCAGATAGAATTTCTACTGAAAATGAGACGTGATCTTATTAAGGCTTGCCAAAGCCTGAAATATTGAGAAAATAGAGCTTTGGGAATTCTCCAGAATGTCAGTAAGATTACTGGAAAAATTTAGTAAAATATAAAGGTATTCCAGAACTTAGAAGCCAGAGAATATTTTCCATGGATCAATCAATTACATTTGGTTGATTTAAAAAAAAAATCAGAATAAATTAGAAACTAAAAAAATAATTATCTATGGGGATTTTGGAAAAAGGGTGGAAATAAAGATTCCTTTGTGTATCAGTCCTCTCTATACAATCTGGAATTCTAATTCATGTAAATACATTAACTATGAAAATTAAATTGAAAATGTGGATGATATATAAATATACTTTACATATTCAGTTATATATATATTTATATCTATATTTATATCTATCTATCTATCTATCTATCTATAGGCTTTACTAGAACAAATATTTTAAAACTAAGTAAAAGTTTATTTACAGCCTACTCTGTGCTGTGTACCGATCTTGGGAATGAAGACAGGAGATACAGCTCTTGTCTTAGCTCTACCATAACATTAGTATCATGACTGAAGTTCTCTGGTTGCATATTAAAGAGAAATCTAGTTGCCATACTTAAGCAGAATTTGATCACTTAAGCAGAATGAAAAGTAGAAAAACAGACACACAGTAAGATTCTAGTATTGGATAAAGTTGGCATTTCAATTCAATGAGTAAGAACAAATTTACTCAATACATAGTATTGGATTGGTTAATAATTTTGAGGAAAATTAGACGACTGTCGTCATATAAGGAGCTCTGGTGGCTTAGTGCCTAAGGTACTTGACTGCTAACCAGAAGGCTGGCAGTTCAAACCCACCAGCCACTCCTTCGAAGGAAGGTTGGGCAATCTACTTCTGTAGTGATACCACCTCGGAAAACCAAAGAGGTGCCACTATGAGTCAGATCTGACTTCACAGCAGTGAGTTTGGTTTTTTTGGTTTGGTCATCATATAATAAATTAAATTACATATGGATTAAGATATTGGAAAAAAAAAATTAAAAGCTTTGATTTATTAGAGAAAAACCCAGGAGGCTACTTAAAACAGAGAAAAAAATAGATACATTATCATGAGACATTATATATATAATTTTACATAAAGATAAGCATACTAAGAGGAAAAGGGATAAAGGTTGTTGTTAGGTGCTGTCGAGTCATCTCTGACTCATAGCAACCCCATATATAGCAGAATCAAACACTGCCAGCCTCACGATCCTTGCTATACCTGACCCCATCATTATAGCCACTGTGTCAATCCATCTTGTTGAGAGTCTTCCCCTTTTTCGTTGACCCTCCACTTTACCAAGCATGATATCTTTCTCCAGGAAACGGTCCCTTCTTACAACATGACCAAAGTAGGTGAGACTAAGTGTGGCCATTTGCGCTTCCAAGGAGCATTCTGGCTGCACTTCTTCCAGGACAGGTTGAGATAAGGGACCATTTCCAAATAGAGATGCTGCTGCTGTTGTTAGGTGCCACCGAGTCTGTTCGGACACACAGCAACACAACGAAACACTGCCTGCTCCTGTGCCATCTTCACAATCACTGGTATGTTTGAACTCATGGTGGCAGCCACTATGTAAATCCATTTCCTTGAGGGTTTTCCTTTTATTCACTGATCCTCTACTTTACCAATCTTGATGTCCTTCTCCAGAACTTCTCCTTATAACCTGACAACCTGATAACATGCCCAAAGCATGTGAGACAAAGTCTTGCAATCCTCGCTTCTATGGCACATTCTGGCTTTACTTCTTCCAAGCCAGATTTGTTCATTCTTCTGGTAGTAGATGGTATAGTTGATATTCTTCACCAACACCATTACAAAGAAATCAATTCTTTAGTTTTCTTATTCTTGTCTAGCTTTCACATGCATATGAGGGAAGTGAAAATACCTTGCCTTGGGTCAGGTGCACCTTGAACTTCAAAATGGCATCTTTGCTTTTTAACACTTTTTCAAGAGATTTTTTTTTTTTTCCAGTAGGTTTGCCCAATGCAATATGTTGTTTGATTTCTTGACTACTGATTCCATGGACTTGACTGTGGATCCAAGTAAAATGAAGTCTGTGACAGCTTCAGTCTTTGTCCCATTTATCATGATGTTGCTTATTGGTCCAGTTGTGACGGTTTTTCCTCTATATTGAGGTGTAATCCATACTGAAGAAATTAATCTTCATCAATAAGTGCTTCAAGTCTTCTTTGCTTTCAGGAAGCAAGGTTATGTCATTTGCATTATCATAGGTTTTTAATGAGTCCTTCTCCAGTCCTGTTGTGTCCTCCTTCATATAGTCCAACTTCTCTGATTATTTCTTCATCGTACAGACTGAATAAGTATGGTTAAAAGATACACACACCTTTCCTGATTTTTAACTGTGCGGTATACCTTTATTATTAACACTGTTCTACTTTGACTCATTAGAGAAAAACAATGGTCTGCTGATATTTGTAAACTTTCCACTGACCAATTTTTTCAGAAGTAGACCACTACATCCTTCTTCCCAGTCTGTCTTAGTCTGGAATTGCAACCTGTCCACCATGGGTGATCCTGCTAGTATTGAAATACTGGTGGCAAAGCTTGCAATGTCACTGCAACATGAAAGCCACCATCGTATGACAAACTTACAGATGAATGGGAGTCAGCTACAGATGTCTAAAAAACATAGAAATTCAATCCTGTAAATAGTACTTAAAAAAAATCCAAATAAAACCTGTGGTATGTTTGTGTGTCAGCTTGGCTGGGCCAGGTTCAGTGGCTGGGCAGCTGGTGGTACTTATTACCTATGATGAGACTGGCAATCAACTCTATGGTGGAATCTACCATAAGCAGCTGAGTGTCATACACATTTTGGTTTTTGACACTGCATTTGGGATGTGGTCTGCTTCCTGTATATAAAGAGAAGCCTTGGGAATGGTCTCCACTCTATGGCACACTTGGACCCTGTAGGTAGCTGTGTCATTGCTCAGTACCCTGCTATGCTCTGCCGACCTTGGGACTTATAATGGCCTGCCATGTGGTTTAGTAACATCGGGACTGTGCCTTTTTACCTATCAACCTTGGGGCATATCTCAGTCTCAGCAGCCAGCAGCTGTCTGAGCGAAAAAAAAGCCTCTAGCTCCAGTGGGCTGGGAGCAGGAGGCAGAACTGGACCCCAAGGTTGAGGGGCTTTTACCCAGCACCTAGAGCCTGGCACTTTGAACTTGGACTTAAAGCCTCCAAATCCTAAGAATAAACTCCTGTTTGTTAAGGTCATACCATTTGTGGTATATTCTTGTCTGAGCAGTGTTAGGTAACCAGAACAAAACCATAAAACAAAAAACTTTGGCTGGTTTGTTTTTAAAAAATTATTAAGAGTGTACTGGCTATGAGGCACCAGTCATTCTTAGCACAGCTTATAGAATATGAATTAATTGTACTTTCTGGAAAGCAAGCTGTCAATCTCAATCGAAACTGTAAAATTTTATTTTCCTTAAGAAAAAATAAAGTAAAACGAGACAGAAAGGTTTAGTCAAAATGTATTCATAATAGAAAAGACATGTAATAATAGGGCATTTATTAAATCAATTTTCTCCCTTCAATTTTTATTAAAAATGATCAAATATCAGCAATTTCACTTTCACTTTCACTTTCTCTCTCTCTCTCACACACACACACACACAAACACACACACACTCTATATTCATGGGGGTGGAGGAAGGTAGGAAGAAAGGCATCTAAGAAGTCATAAGTAATACAGATGTTCATAGTTCATATAAAAGGTGTCTATTTTAGCTAAGAACTGGAGTATAAGTTAAATTTAACAAGGGTAACAGAACAAGAGCTAAAAAGTTCTTACTTTTGGTTTAATTTGGAAGAAGACAGAATACAAGATCTTGTGTAGACCAAACTACCTCATTAGGCTTTACACCTTTGATGTTAATGGTTTATTATATTTTAAAAAATGTGTATTTGATAGCAATTAGCCAGAATTACCACTGTTTGCAAGTGAACTTGTATCTGAGGATATTTTATTCACAATGGCTATTATTTTTATTTTTTAACTTTTTATTGTGATTTTGGTGAAATTTTAAAAAGCACATTAGTTTTACATCCAACAGATCATACACATTTTGTTTTTTGACACTGATTACAATCCGTGCAGATGTAACAGTTCTCCCCTCACTCTTTCCCTATGGTTACCCTGCCCCTGTGTCCTTCTTGCCTCTGTATTCCTGCCTTTCTACCTTTCTCCTCATGCAAATGCTGCTCTTCTGATCTGCCATGGTGATTTTTCTAAGAAGTACACCTCTCCAGTGTAGCTGTTCAGCTCATAGGCCTGTCTATTGTTTGGCTAAAAGTTAAGCCACAGAAGTAAGGTCAATTCCAGGCCCAAAAGGTGACTACGGACTAGTCACAGCAGTCTATCTGACCAGTAAACACTGTCTTTTTTTTTTTCCCAATTCTGTTCAACACTTTATCCCACTCTAGCCAGGGTCTCCCAATTTTGATCCTTTCTAAGTGATTGGCATTAGTAGCTAGGCACCATCTAGTTCTTCTGGTCTCAGGGTCATATGGGCTGATATGGGCCCATGCATCTTTGATTTTCTTCACTCTTCTTTGCTCTGGATGAGCAGAGAGACCAAGTGTTGCATCTTAGATGGCTGCTTACAGGTTTTAAGACCCTAGTTGCTACTCACCGAAGTAAGATGCAGAAGAGTATTTTTGTGTACTATGTCGTGTCAACTGAGCTTGATGTTTTCAGCGACCATGGCCCAAGCCCACAGGCCCAATGACTCATTCCCTCAAGGTGCTTAGTTCTGACTAAGAAATTATCCTAACTTTGCCCCCTCTTAGCTTTATACTGCATATGGATATTTTTACAATACACACTAATACATTTATAGGAATAACGTCTGCGAAACTTAAGTATGTATATTGTATATACATGTATATTGTATGTATATACAAACTTAAGTATGTATATATGAATAGGTATATTCCTGTTTACCTATCTATACCTGATCTTCTTCCTGTCTATCTATCTATCCAACTGTAGATTACTGTTGGCTCTTACTGAAAATGCAGTGTTGTGTATGCAATAGTATTTACCTCTATTGTCTCTACCTCTTGTGCACCTCTCTGTATCTTCCTTTTTCTTAGTGATATTGTGCTGGTCACACACTTTTCTTATACTGCCTTTCCCTACACCCATATCAACACCTGTCTCTTAACTATCCATCTATTTACCCTCTCTTCCCCTCCCTTCACATCCCTGGTAACCAGCAAAGAAAATTTCCTTCCCTGTATAAACCTTTCTTGGACTTCTTATGGTAACAGACTCATACAATATTTGTCCTTCTGTGATTGACTTATTTCACTCAGCACAATGTCCTCCAAGCTCATCCACATTATGAGGTGATTCCTTGATTCCTCATTACTAATTAATGTTGCATAGTATTCCATTGTGTGTATATATCATAGTTTAGTTATCCATTCATCTGTGGATATTATATTGATAAGTACATTCAAAATAATTCAGACAGTTTTGAATTTATTTGTAGGAATCCGCATAGTTCCTGCTTTCAGAATTTCTAAGAAGTCTTTTCAGATATGAAGGTCAATGACTCAGAACCATAGTACTGGGGGACACCAGACTCAATTGGCACAACAAAATACATAAAAGACCTACATCGGTGAGGAGCTACTGGGGTCTTAAAAGCTTTCAAGCGGCCATCTAAGATGCAGCTAATGGTCTCCAATCATCAGAGGTGAAGAAGAGTGCAAAAAAAAAACAAGGGCATTTGGAAGCAATCAGCCCTAGGACACGATGGCCCTTGAGACCAGAAGAACTAGGTGGTGACTGGCAAACCAATGCCAATCACTCAGGAAAGGATCAAATATGGAGATCCTGGATAGAGTGGGAGGAAAAATGTGGAATAAAATCCAAAAACTCAATAATGACTGGAATTACTGGTCGGATAGAGCCTGGTGAGACCCCCAATATGATGGCCCTGGGATACATTCTGGGCCTGGAATAAAACTCACTCCCAGGAGCTGGCTCTCAGCCCAACAGTAAATAAGATGTACACACAGACCACTTAAACCAGGGTGGCACACCCACGTACTCAATGGAAATGCATCCCTTGGAGCAAGTGACCACAGGGCACCAGAGGAGCAACTTTAGAACGGAGGAAATGCAGGACACACAGGAGTGCATAACTATGAGGAGACTGGGTTAGAGGTGGGAATGGTGAATGGGGAGTGAAACTAAATGTACACATAATGTTGAATGCAAAACAAACTCTGCTCTGTAAATTTGCACCTAAAGCACAATTTAAAAAAAAAAAAAAAAGATATCAAGGTAAAGTGCCAAATTTTCAGGAATGATAGGCTACACACATTTTAGTCAGCAACAATATTTTCATATCCATTTTTAAATGAACAGATTAAAAGAGAAGACACACAGGTTTACAAAAGGATTATTTCCAAATCACTATATTCATAAGCAAATTTTAATTTAAGAAAAAAAACTATGAGCAAGGATTCTGGATTAAGATGGAAAATTATTAAGAAGAAATAATTTCATTTCCTCTTTGAAACTACAATGAAGAGATTTTTTTTTTTAAGTCAGCAAAGACAAAAAGAACAGGAAAGTGAAATATAATTTTTGAGAGTGCTTAACAGATAAACATGTGGTTTCAGGCACAAAAAAGTGAAACACTAAGACTTTAAGGTGTAAAACAGAATCACACCAACTATCCAGTGTTGTTGTTATAAGTCGTCATCAAGTTGGTTCTGATTCAAAGTACAACAGAACAAAATGCTGCCTAGCCATTTTATATCGTTATGTCTGAGCCCATCACTGTAGCCACTGTGTCGTCAATTCATCTCATGAAGGGTCTTTCTCCTTTGTGCTGACCCTCTACTTTGCCAAGCATGATGTCCTTCTCCAGGGACTGGTCCTTCCTGATAATGTGTCCAAAGTACATGAAACAAAGTCTTGCCATCTTCACTTCTCACAAGAATTTTGGCTATACTTCTTCCAAGACAGATTTGTTCGCTATTCTGGAAATCCATGGTATATTAATACTCTTTGCCAAGAAGACAATTCAGAGGCATTGATTCTTCTTTGGTCTTCCTTATTCATTTTCTAGCTTTCCCATGCATATGAGAGAATTGAAAATACCATGGCTTGGGTCAGGTACGCCTTACTCTGTCAATGACATCCTTTGATGTTTAACATTTTAAAGTAATCTTTTTCAGATTTGCCCAGTGCAATATATCTTGTGATTTCTTTGACTGCAGTTTTCACAGCTTTTTATTGTGGATCCATGTAAAATGAAATCTTTGACATCTTCAATCTTGTTTCTGTTTATCATGATGTTGCTTATTGGTTCAGTTTTGAGGATTTTTGTTTTCTTTATGTTGAGGTATAATCCATTCTCATATTAATTCTCTAGTGCTGCTGTAACAGAAATACCACAAGTGGATGGCTTTAATGAACAGGAATTTATTTTTTCACTGTTTAGGAGGCTACAAGTCCAAATGTACAATGTTGGCTCTAGGGGCTGGGTGAAGATCACTTGACCTTAAGCTTCAACTCTGCCTCTTGTTCCAGGCCTACTGGAGCTAGAGGCTTCTTCAAATTCATGTAGCTGCTGGCTACAGAGGCTGACAAACCCAAGACTAGTAGGTAAAATGGCACAATCCCAAGAGACGAGCAGGCAATATGGCCCAAAATTTTGCCAAAAAGCTAGAGACTTTTTCCAAAGTCTCTCCACATATATAAGCAGACCACACCCCAAAGGCAATGCCCTTTCCAATGTTAAGATCTCAAAGCAGATTCCACCATGGAGTTGATTACATCATGTCCAATCTTATCATGGGGAATAACTACATCCAGCTGCCATGCCACTCAAAAAATCACAGCCCAGCCCATTTGACACACAACCTTAACTGCTACAATATTGGAGGCAGAAGTCTTTGATTTTCATCAGTAAGTGCTTCAAGTCTTCTCCACTTTCAGCAAGCAAGGTTGTGTCATCTGCACATCACAGGCTATTAATCAGTTTTCCTCCAATTCTGATGCTGGGCTCTTCTTCACATAGTTCAGCTTCTCAAATTTTTTGTTCAGCATATAGATTGAATGAATATGTATTACTCATTGAGTAAGTAGCATTTATGCTACAGAACCCTCAAAAGACTTATGAAGTAGTAGCGCCAGGTGCCTCTGGAAAGGTAGGTAAAGGAAGAAATGGGTGAAAATAAGGAAGAAAAAGGGATGGGTTCTGAGCAGCAGTTAAATGTCTTACCCCAGAAGAAACCGAGAGGTTAATTATCTACAGTTAATTATCTATAAATGGTCAATGCAGAGTACATTTCTTTGTCATAAACTAATTTAAGAAAGAAGTTACGTGTAAGACAAAGAGGGTTTTATTAGGAAATTTCATTTACAATATTATTTGTAGACTCTCAAATTTACTCACTGAATAAAACCAACTTCTTCAAATTTCTTTCAACAAATGCTACTGTTGACACAAAGAAAATTAATGAATTAGTGACTTTTTAAAGCCTAATAGGCTTTTTAAAAAGCCTAACAATTGTTGTCATTAGCTTCTACTGGGTCAGTCTCCAACTGATGATGACCCCATACACAAAAAGAGATCAGACCATCATGATCCATATGGTTTTCACTGGCTGATTTTCAGAAGTAGATCATCAGGCCTTTCTTCTAGACCATCTTAACGTGAAGTTCTGTTGAGATCTGTTCAGCATCATAGCAACACACAATACTTCATTATCAGATGGACAGTGGCTGCGCATGAGTTGCATTGACCAGGAATGAACGTGGGTCTCTGGCATGGAATGCAAGAATTCCACCACTGTCCCCCTACTAGTCCTAGGATCCTTTACATTAGACAATTTTATCTCTATGTATTTTTAATTGGCCTTAGATTCCTTTTTCTCATCCAAACTTACCAATGTCATCATCAGTCCTGTCAATTGGGTCCTTCTCTAGGCAGTCTCTCACAATGTCCCTGCTCATCAGAGGATCTGAGGCCCTCTCAATGTCTTCTTCATCATCGTCATCTTCAGAATCTACTGCAGTTTCTGGCAACCCACTCAGGTCCATATCACCAGCCTCACTTTCTGTGGCCTTCAAAACCAACCAAAAAGAAAAAAAAAAAAAAAAAACAACAAAAAACTAAATACCAGTTTTAAGTAAATCATTGGTTTGGGTACATATTTTCATGTTACATTTTTATTGTGTAAATAGGTTAGATGTAGTTAACACTGACACATATTTAGGTACCCAACATTGTATAAAAGAATTCCTTCAACAAAATATGAGTGACTTTATCTCCTATTAAATTTATGGTCATGATTAATGATTTTATCTCAGTAATTTTTATTTCTTATTTGAGCTGTCATGTGGCATTTGAAACATAGTAGAATAAAGAACAAGACAGCATTTGCTTTCACCCTATTTTTCAAAAAGAATTGCTTAAGCTCACAGCTTAAGGGTTTCCATTAATTCTGAACAATTCCTTCTTCAAAAGAGTAGGTGTGAATTTATTAATGCCAAGCAAAAGGAATCACTTCTGCCCTATTAGAGGGTCTTTATGGAAAATGAACCACAATGCAAAGGTAGTTTGATATATATGCCAACAGAAACACTGAGAATCAGTTAAGACAATCCCAATGAACACTCTTGAACTGTAAATCAACAGTTTAAGAGACCATATGTTTACAGGGGATACAGTCTTTTGTCCCATTCATCAACAGAGTTGCTTGTATCAGCAATCATATTTCAAGTTATTAGTTAGTATTAATACTCAAGTATTTGAACTTTTTCTTACCCAACAGAATCACAAATTTCAAGACTGTCTCTTCCATTAGGCTATTTCAAACCAGAAACAGGTTTAGGACATTCCAGACTCTTTTACAATTATCATACCTCAACAATATATATTTATGTATATTAGTCTTATTCAGCATTATATACCTGGAGTTGACTAAATGCTTAAGCAGTGTATGAACGAATTCAATTAAATATTAACTATCTCAATTTTGAAATCATGAATAAATGCTTGTTCAGATAAAATATTAAAACTCTTGAAAATATCTAATAAAATTTTGTGGAAAAATATGTACTTTATATAAAGTTTCCCAACTCAAATAACTCACACCCCACAAGATTTTCAAAGACATTATGAACACTTTATTTTTAAGAATAGGCAAAAGTTTAAAGAAATAAATGATAAAAATATAAACTACTGAATCTAGAAATAGTTAAAAGCTAACACTGAATATTCACAATATGGCAGGTACTGCTTTAAGTGACATGTATGTATTAACTCATTTAATCCTTAAAACAATCCAATGTATTCTGTCTATTACTAACTTTTGTTATTCTCCAAACACTGAGGGTAGAGAAATTATTTTATAAGGTCACTACATTTTATCATGATAAAGTATAGAATTGAGATTAGAACCCAGGAGGGCTTAACCTTAATCACAACATGCTTTTTTAGTAGATATTTAAATATGAATGTGACTTAGATAAAGATCTATATTTTTTCTGCAATTTAGTTTAAGTTAGTATTTACAGAATAAATTTTGCTATTTTTTTTTTTAATCAATAAAATTTCATGTTTCTAAAGCACTGGTTTCTGTTACAGAACGTATGATTTAATCCTACATTTTGGATTAATACATCTGTGGATTTTTTTTTTTAAAGTTTAGCAATCTGTTTTAATCATATTTTTAGTTTTGGGGTATAATTTCCTAAACTGAAAAAATCCATTATAAGAAACGCCTAAAAATATAATAATTGTTGACATAAAACCTAATGCTTCTAAAAGTTCTTTAAACATTGTTCTTAAAATTACTGCTTGGGTAAGACCATTGTGAGCAGAAGTGCTTCAAGATGGAGAGTAACAAACCACTGCTGTTGAGGCAGAGATTTAACTGTGCATGCTCAGAAACATAGTATCTCCTAATGTGAATTCAAAATACACAGAATTACTTTCAGATTTGAGATTGAAACTGAAGTTGAACTTGATATAGTATGCCAAGGCTGTGATCAGACAAACTAGGTCAACATTGTTGTTATCATCACCTTACTTCTGAAATCTACAAATGTGACAATTTGTTAATGCTTCCTATGATTTTCACCCCAGTTTCATCTTAACATTAAAGATTATTACTCATTGCCTTATATTTTCAAATATACTATCAGTCATCCATGTACTCATCCATTAACATTAGCCTAAAGAAAGGACTAGGAGCTCTGGTAGCATAGTGCCTAAGGCATCTGACTGCTAACCAGAAGGCAGGAGGTTCAAACCCACCAAACACTCCTCGGAAGGAAGGCTAGGCAATCTATTTCCGTAGTGATACCTACCGCCTCAGAAACCCAAGGGGAAGTCGCTATGAGTTGGGTCCAACTCAACAGCACATAACAACAACAACAAAAAAGAAAGGACTACTAATGACAGAAAACAGACAAAAAAACTAACTAAAAACCTTTTTTTTTAAAGAATATATTGACATTATGAAAGCTTTAAAAATATTTTTAGTATCTTACCATATATTAAAATATGAAAAATATGTTTCATATGATCCCAAATAAATCTCTTTCATTTAAGTGAATATTATTTAAGTCTTAAAAGAACAAAAAGACCTCCAAATATTAACTGAATCCAGTTCTGCAAAACTGACCCAATGTTCACCCATCTGATTTGTGTAACAATCACTGGTTATTTTCTATCTCTCTTATGTGTGTTCTATTGAATAACAAACTGTGCATAAAATGTAATTCACTAAGTCAGTAACTTGGAGGATGAAATCACAGGTTTTAAATCATATGTTCTGTAATAAATTTTACTTTAAAATACTACTAAATGACTTTAGTAATACATTTTGGAGTCAATGGGTGGTGCAAAGGGTTAAACACTTGACCAGTAGCCTAAAGGTCGGTGGTTATAATCCATCCGGAGATGTCTTCGATTACAGGCCTCAGAAACTCTATGAACAGTTCTGTTCTGCACACATGGGTTACCATGAGTCAAAATGGACATGATGGCAACTCAATAACAACAATACATTTCTAAATAAAACCCAATAAACAACTTTTCAGGAATCTATTAATTTCATAATACATTTGTCTTGTGAACAACAAGATGGTTGGAGACTGAATGGAGTTAAATATCAACTGGTCTACAGGAGAAAGGAGTACTAAACCTAAGAGGAATGCCCGGGACCTACCAGTTACTGAATTTATAGTTGCTGGTAAACAAACAAATGACTACCTCTGCCATCCATTATGTGACTTTAGCCAACTCACTTAATTATCATGAGCACAGTTTTATTATCATCTGTAACTTAGAGATATATCTTCTAATTGTTTACAAGACTACATGTAGATCAAATAAGGCCAAAAAAAAAAAAAACGCCAGTCCAGGTCTAGATCAAAAGTCCCTTTGTCAAGGGGATATATATTTTTGTATTGGTACTAGCACACTTTCTGTCTCTTCCCATCCCAACAATGAGTCTTGCACACAATTCAAATTCACAAAATTTACTGAATGAATGAATAAATAAATAAATAAATAAATAAAACTGTTACACACCTCAGCCCTCACAAAAACCAAACTCACTGACATCAAGTAGATTCTGACTCATAGTGACCCCCTTTGGGCTTCCAAGGTGATAAATCTCTATGGAAGTAGATTGCCCAGTCTTCCTTCCACGGAGTGGCTGGTAGGTTTGAACCGCCAAGCTTCTGGTTAGCAGTCAAATGCCTTAGGCACTATGCCACCAGAGCTCCTTTGCCTTTACCATACTGGTAAAGAAATCTCTCTCAAGCTAACTACAGCCAGTAAATTTTGGCCCAACTGCTCTTACTAATAATTACAAAATAGTGGCTGTGGTAGTTAAGGTTCTATGTCAACTTGGCTGGGCATGGTTTTAAGCAGCTGGATTTAGTTATTCTCCATGGTGAGACTGGTAATCAAATTCATTTCGTGGAATCTACTGTGAGCAGCTGAATAGCTGTCTTAGGGATGTGGTCTGCTCCCAGTATATAAAGAAAAGCTTTAGGAATGGTCTGTAGCTTTTGACATGCTTAAACCCTGCTTGTAGCAGAATCTTCATTTAGCAGCCTGCCATGTTTCCTGCTGATCTTGGGACTGTCTCTGGACTTGTCCAAGTAGTCTGCTATGTTGTTTGGTAATATTGGGACTGTGCCTTTTTACTTCAGAAGGAAGACTGGGTCAAGCTTGAGTTTGTCAGCTTCATCAGCCAGCAGCTGCCAGAGTGAATAAAGCCTCCAGCTTCAGTAGACGGCAGCAAGAGGCAGAGCTGAAGCCCAAGATTGTGGGGCTTTCACCCAGCCCCTAGAGCCTGGCACTTTGAACTTGGACTTCTAGGCTCCAAAACTGTAAAAGAATAAACTCTTATTTGTTAAAACCATCCCATTTGTGGTATATCTTCTGTTACAGCAGCACTAAACCAAAAGAACAAAACTCACTGCCATCGAGTTGATTCAGACTCATAGTGACCAACCGTCTTTGGGTTTCCAAGGCAGTCGATCTTTACAGAAGTAGATTGCCTAGTCTTCCTTCCACAGAGTGGATGGTAGGTTTGAACTGCCAAGATTCTGGTTAGCAGTCAAATGCCTTAGGCACTATGCCACCAGAGCTCCTTACAGCAACACTTGTTGTTGTTGTTGTTGTTATGTGCCGTCGAGTCAGCCCCGACTCATAGCGACCCCTCCTTGGGTTTCCGAGGCGGTATCACTACGGAAGTAGGATTGCCCAACCTTCCTTCCGAGGAGTGGCTGGTGGGTTTGAACCGCCAGCTGTCTGGTTAGCAGGCAAGTGTCTTAGCCACTATGCTACCAGAGCTCCTAGAGGTAATTAAAACAGTGGCCCTGTGTTAAATGACTATCACACATCCATTACTGAATTTCATGTTTTTAATACTTAACGATTAAACTTCACATCAACATGGCAAGTTAGTATTATTACCTCTATTTTCACAGATGAGAAACACTCAAGGAAACTAAACAAATTGTTTAGGGTTTAAAAAAAAAGGTGGAGAAGAAAAAAGAAAAGAAAAATGTGAATAACTGTGCCAGGATCCAAAATCACA